CAAGGCTCTACAGTCCTCAAGCCGGCACTCTATTCACTGAGCCAACCCAGTTAGGGCTCATTTTTTTTATTTTACGAAAATTTCAGTCTGTGATCAATTGGAAAAAGTTGTCCTTCACCTCAGAAAGTTTTATAAGCCATGTTCTAAGTCATCTTACTACTAATAAAAAGAAAGCACTTTTAAATTTTCTATATTGTTGAAAATATTACATATGCCCCCTTTTCCCACTGACCCCTTATAGCCCACTCCACCCCCTGCCCAGGCCTTCACCACACTATTGTCTGTGTCCATGGGTTATGCATATATGTATACAAGTTCTTGGATTAAAAAAAAAATTTTTTAAACATGTTCTTGGCTTGCAAATTCGTTTAAAGTCCCACCAAAAAGAAAAATACATCAGTGTTTGGGAAGAACAAATATACATCACTTCAAACTAGGTAAAATTAGACTGTTTTTAAAGCAATTTATTTCACTCAGACTGATTTCTTTTTTAGGTATTCTGGATGACTGCTTGACCATAAACAGAAGCACAAGCCATTTTCTCCTGTCCTCTTTGACTCCTCTAAACTTCAGTCCTGGCTGAAGCATCCTGCTGTCACTCATGGACAAGTAATGTTTGGGGGCTTTTATTGATTATGGTATCACATAATTGTCCTCATCCCCCATTCCCATCCCAAACCCTTCCCAACGTATGCTCCTACCCCCCTGTTGTCTATGACCACTGGTTAGGCTTTTATGCATGCATACAAGTCCTTTGGTTGATCTCTCCCTTTTACCCCCACCCTCCCCTACTTTCCCTCTGAGGTTTGACAGTCTGATCGCTGCTTTTCTGTCTCTGGGTCTATTTTTGTTTATCAGTTTATGTTGTTCATTATTTCCCCTAGATGCATGAGATCATGTGACCCAAGAAATACCCTTATAAGAATTGAAACTGAGACAAGCCATAATAGTTGTGCTGAGAGGCAAATAAATCCGCCTGTAGCGAGTTCCTTTCTGGGCCAACAGTTCTTTTGAGCCCCAATTTCAATGTCAAACAGTGCCTTATGTGTACATGTCAGCCATATTTCAGATCTGGTTGGTGGCCAAACAGTGGTGATGCAGGTCCGACCATCTCTGGTTTGGTCCTGGGCATCCTTCAGCGTCGCACAGCTCCTGTCTGCTAGTATGGCAAGGCGTTGTCAGCGTCTCAACTGTTTCTCTGAACTGTTTCTCTTCTGTCTTCATAGCTAGAGCACTCCTGTCCATTCCTCTCGGTTGCAGGAATCCACATGGTCTCGGAATTTATAGAAAATATCCCTTTATTAACTTTTGATCGAGAATATGTTTGTATATTCTCAGAAAAGTAATGTTTTTTAATCAAAAACAAACTTTACTAAGAATTTCTAGTTTAATGATCATTGGCTCTCCTTTTGACATACTTGGGGCTTAACATGTACATGGGGTTTCATTCATTCATGCATGCATTCATTAATTCATTTTAAAGACTATACTCTATCACTCAATTTTAGTTCATGACATCTGTTCTTCACAAATTGAGGGTCTTAAAGTATGTGGGAATGATATATACATCAGATGTGGACTGTCTTATTTTCATCAACCAAACATCCCTATAACTTGAGACTGTTTGAAGGAATAAAACTTCTAACACAGAAATATACTATATAATAGTTTATTTTTCTCATTTTACTATTTTTACATTTTATGCACAAATATTTTTATCTGAGTAAAAATAACTGTTTTATGTAAAATTACAAAAAAAAAAATAAAAACCACAAAGAAATACATAATTGTTATTATGACAGTATAAGTGACTTTATTTAAAGAGTAAAAATGTATGCAAAAATCTTTCTCCCTTTTACAAAAAATTGAGAATTTATTTTTCTGGCAGCAAGTGAAATATCACTAAATATCAATATTTTTACACTTCCTAGATATGAAGACATTGTTAGTCACAGGTTGTTTTGCAGTTATGAATTTAAAAACATTTTTGTGCTATTTCAAAGATACACTGGTTCTTTTTAAAAGGCAGTACATAAAATGATGAATATGGAAAGTAGCAGACCTTGCCATAAATATCTGGAGGTACAAATCTTTAAAGAAATATCATACTGAGTTTCACCAGTAGTCAGGGGAGAAAAACAACTAAACAGATTTTCCTAATTAACTGACATAGACTGATACAAAATGAATATGATTAGTTGATTCATATGAAGATCAACCACACAGAGCAATTCTGCCTTAATTTGATTTTCTGATGCCAACATAAATCTCCAAACTTCAGGCTAGTTCTATACCTATAATAGATATAAAGGTGGCTCAGGGAGAACCTCATGTGGAAAACAAGTTTTAAAACAAAAAATGAACATTTCATTATTCTTGTACTCAAGGTATAAAAGATGACCAATCATTTTATCTTTCTTCCTTTAAATATATTGTAAATTCTCCTATGAAAAATTCATACATAAAACGTAACAAAGAATGAACAGTGTGAATTATATTTTCTTCCATAATCTTTCTATATGGGAAAAGACTACTTGACTTTCTGATAATTGTAACCTCAACAAGGACAGTGAAAATCGTTTATTATAATTTGACACAAAGTAACAGAAATTTCTTGAATCAATTGGGGAAACTACCTATGTTATGATGCATAAAATGATAAGAAGCAACGAACAAAAAAGAAAAAAACTTGATCATGTATGAGAACTGTCTCTGTTCAAATTGTAATGAATAATAAAAATTGTTATAGAAAAAAATGAAGATTGTGTTGTTTTTTAAGCATCTGAGAAATGCTACAGAAGAAATAATAATTTGACTTTAGAGATCTAAAAGAAATGTGGGTGTTCCTTGCTTTAAAAAATAAAAAATGTACACACACACACACACACACCTATAACTGAGATATAAAGGAAGTCTGCCATCCTGGCTCAAATGTTAACATAATGCCATCTTCAAAGCATTTCAAAAGTCAAGTATTTTAAGCTCTAGAAAATATATCAGAATAGTGTAATTTTTTAGACCTATAAGTGATTTGTCAATTCCCTAGGCCATAAGTGGATGGTGCAATACCTTCTTTTTAGCCATTAGCTATTTGAAAGTAGGACTTTTGTATATTAATTCATATTGCTAGTCTACTCAGATATTCTTGCAACCATTGCACCCAATATCTAATAATAATTTGTCAGTCTATTCTGTGTGTGTTTATAAAATGGTACCAGTGGGATGTTACAAACTTTGTTCCTTTTTAGGTGTGTACAGCAGTCTTCAAGGACTTACTACAGTCATATAGATGGACCAACATCATACTTTGTAGCCCTTCAGCACAGCACTTAACATTAAAATTATCAGACAAGAGATCACAGGCCTCCCCTCTTCTCCTCGTTCCTGAGAGCCCTGTCTCCTGTGGTTCATTCCAAACGCCATTTAGTGTGCCGATGGCAGCGACTGCTAGCAATGCCACGTTGCCTACATTGCCATGGCCCTTTCTTCCTGGTTGGTCAAAAGCATTAACCCTTATAAAGCTGTTTAGAGGGGTGAGTTTAAAGTAAATGATAAGGGAGAAGGTGCATAAAGTAATATTTGAGAATAAATCTTAAGAGGATTAGAACTTATTTGCCATATTTCACATCAGGATTTGTACATAATACCTTAAAACAAACAACAAAAGAAAGCAAGGAGAGTGAGCAAGCAAACAACAAAAAAATACATATTTCTAGCCACTTCTGCTTAGTGTTAGTTTATGGTTAAGTAAAGAGTTTCATATTTATAAGAATTATTTAATTTTTTAAGATTAAAAAAAATGAGTTATTACCTTTTCAAATATCTTTCCTTTTGAATATTATGTCTTTACATATGTGTATATCTGTATTTATAGGAACTGATCATGTGGACATGAATATATACTCATATATTCAAAAGGAGAAATTAAATAAATGAGCAATTTTGCTTTAAGAGAAAACTGCCTGTACTGGAGATAAAATTTTCTTTTTAAACTATTTGCAAATAATTTTCTAATATCTTAAAAGGTGAAGTACTGCTGACTAATTTAAAGTCTTCATTTCATCAGAAACACAATGACCATTTAAGCTGCTCTACATAAACCAACATGAAAGAGTAATTAAAAAAAAAAAAAAAAAAGAGAGAGAGAGAGAGAGAGAGAGAGAGAGAGAGAGAGAGAGAGAGAGAGAGAGAAGCCAAACCAATTTTCTGGCTGAGGTATACCTTCTCGGTTTTTTGGATCTCTGACAGGAAAAAGAGATCATTTCAAAATTTTTGTAATAGTTGGTTTATTAGATTCAATGCTTCTCTTAGAATAATTTAAATTCTTGACCTGACATGAATCTATACAAAAACCTGAGCCAGATTTAAACCTGGATCTCCCTCTTCAGCACTGCTCTTCTGCCAGTTGACTTCTTTGTCCTTTGCTTGCAAATATATAAGTTACTTTAATAACTTGATACTAATAGTTTAGTAATTTATTAATATTATACTTTTATTTGATATGACTATTTTAGCTCTGCCTGTTAGGTGAAATAGACACACATGCTTTCTCTGTTAAAGTTCCATTTTCTGGTTTTATGTAAAGCAACATCTAAAGCAGCAGAGAGGGTAAACAGTTATATTTTCAAAAATAGGTAAGCCAGACTGTTTCCTGAAGATACTTCATTTATTTTTCATCCTCAGATGCTGCTGGCTATTTTTGGTAGGGCTAGACATTAATACTGACAAGTTTAGCTTTCCTGACTGTTAACAAACTACCCACAATGAACCTGCCTTCATACTGAAGCCATTGTGGTGATCCTGTAACATACACATATTCTAAAATATATGCTCAAAGTAAAAAGATCCAAATTCACAAGAGTATGAAATATTTATAAAAAAATCATGCATCAGACTGTACAGTCTAGAAATAAAGGAAGATCCAAATTCAGTAATAAAGGTAAGAGCAATGCTTGCTCTCAGAGTTAAGAAAAACCTTGAAACCCCAGCAGGTCCTGAGCTCAGTTATCCTTTTCTGCTTGCAGAGAAGCTGCAGCCAGGGCTACTGCCGTGACAGGTTGGGCGATTCCATGGAGCTGCATCTTTGCAAGTTTCTTCTGTTCACACTCTGTGACCAAACGGTTCAACTCTGCCGCACTGTATCCAATAAGAGTCTTCAAGTCACAGACAAATTTGTACACAAATCTCTTGCCCTGAACTTTACAAATCATGTCCCCATCATAATAATACCTTTAAAAAGAGAAAAACACATCAGTACTATATAAAAAGTAAAGAGTTTGGACTTCCTACAGTATTTCACACTCTTCCATAAACAGCAGACTAGGAGAATACGGCATCTATCGTAACAGAAGTTAACATGGAAGTTACATATAAATATTTAATATTATTATGCAAGGAAACTTCACAACATTACTTACTACAATTTCAATGCTCAGTATTCCAAAACTTTACATACTACATTTTCAAAGCATGTTTTATATCGATACAATTAGTATGGAACACTGATTTAAAAACAAACATTACTAAATAAAACAAAAACCTTTGGGAACAGTAACAGAACTTATGGACAGGGGCTTAGAGTCAGGATGCTGAGATTCGAAATCTATCTTTATTTATACCGTAATTTCCTTTGAGACCAGAAGAAAGCCACATTTTCTCTAAGCTTTAATTCCTCTTCTATAAAATAAGATGTAAAACAGTACTTACCCTCAAAGAACTGTTGAGGATTAAAAGGATTATCTTTGCAAAGTGCCTAAGCATATAAACTAGGACATAATCCTCTATAAAATATAAGCTATGTTAATAATTAAGAACCATATAATGCGAGGAAATTTTTACTTCTATGGATTGTTGGAATGTCCACAATTCTTTTCTGTCTTATACAAAACCCTATGATGTGTAACCATGCCTTCAGTTAATATGTAAAGACTTTCCTTTCTGAGAAATTCACCAAACCCAATAGGGAACCTCAAAAGTATAAGTAAACAGGGAAGAAGAAACAACACAGAAAAACGGGAAGTAGTACATCACTAAGAAACAATGCGTCTGAGCCTTGGGGAAATCACTCCACAACAGTGATTTTCAATCTTTTTCATCTCATGGAACACATAAATTACTAAAATTCTGAGGCATACACAATTATATTTTTTACAGATCTAACAAAAAAAAGTTATAATTTTGATTCTGACACACCAAAAAACTATTGTTGAATTGGCTGTTGTCATTTTTTATTTGACAATCTAAGGGAAAAGAGATCAGTGCCCCTGACTAAATAGGTATAGCATAACAATTCTTGCAACACACTGGTTGAAAAACACTGCTCTAAAAGTCTAGTTTATTGCTGCTTTCTATGGAGATAGAAATAGAACAGAATTAATATTTAACTAAGAAAACACTTTATTTATCACTATGCCCTGCCAATTCCAATTCCAATAAAAAGGGGCGGAAGGCTGGGCTGGCAGACTGTGGAGCCTTTGTTAAAATTACACTGCCTATTTGCAGCCATTTGACAAGAGTTGTTAGTGACTTATTACAAAAGGAACATTTGCAAAAGTACCAATGGTATAAACTACCATATTTAGCAGAATTTCATTATAAAAGTTACTCCATTTAATTGAGTACATTAATGAAATGACTGACCTAAACACAGGAAATCATGTCATCTTTCCCTAAATGCAGAACAGCAAAAAACAGAATAGCCATGTTCATTTCCCCCCCAGTAAGAGATTTATCATCGGCTGTAGTAATCTTGTGTTCTCCTTTGTGCCAATTACATTAAAACATAATTTAGATCTCAGTCCACAAACCACCAAATGCTTGGCATCCAGTTTAAAATGCTACTGGCATTTCAATTTCTTAAGTAAATCCTATATAATAAAAGCATGGTATGCAAATTGTCCCCTGGACTGGGAGGTCATCGGGAGTTCGACCTGGGGGCAGGGCCGGCAGGGGGAAGGAAGGGAATACCCAGCTGGCAGCCGCTAAGGACCACACCAGTGTATGAATTTTGTGCACTGGGCCTCTAGTTTCTTCATAATATGTAAGGCTGTACAAGCAGACACCATAGAAAAAGAAAATTAAACCTCAGAGGGAAGGTCGGGGAAGAGTGGCGGTAAGAGGGAGAGATCAACCAAAGGACTTATATGCATGCATATAAGCCTAACCAATGGACACAGACACTGGGGGGCGGGGTGAGGGCATGAGGAGTGTAGGGGGATTATGGGGGAATAAGGACACATATATAACACCAAAATCAATTTAAAAATTTTAGAAAAATTTTAAAAAAAAGAAGGGAAGTGGTTTTATATTTCAAAGAGAAAAATTAAGTTGATATAGTCTTAAGTTTCTAGGCAAAAGGTGATAAAAAATTTACATACGTTAAGTTTTAATTTTACTTAATACTTCCTTCAATCTAGAAGATAAATTATACAACCACCAGCAATTCATTGCATTTGTCCCCTCTATAAAATAAGGAAAGTTGAAAGGTACACAATACCTGAATTTTCATGGTCATGATTTTTTTTCCTCCCTCTTTTAAACAAAATTTTATTTTTTTAACCTTCTATATTGTGAAATATTCTACTCAAACAAAAAGGACAAAAAAGTGAACAGCTCAGTGATTACAAATTGCACATTCACCTGTTAAATATGACTCAGATCAGAAAACAACACTGCCAGGAACCCAGAATCCCCTCCATAGCTTATCCCAATCATCACTTTCCCCGCCCCAAAGATAAACACAATCCTGTCTCATGCTAGTTATCTAGTGCTTGTATTTATAGTTTTTCCACCCAAAATGTGATTGGGAATCGATCCGTAACATTGGTTCACAGGTGGACGCTTAACCATTGAGCCATGACAGCCAGGCCAAAAATCCATCCTATATGCTGTAACTTAGTTTTTCTGCTTTTTAAAAAAATATGTTTTTATTAATTTTTTATAGAGAGGAAGGGAAAGGTATAGAGAGTTAGAAACATCAATCAACTGCCTCCTACACACCCCCTACAGAGTGTTCCCACAACCAAGGTACATGCTCTTGACCAGAATCTAACCTGGGACCCTTCAGTCTGCAGGCCGATGCTCTATCGACTGAGCCAAACCAGTTAGGGCAGTTTTTCTGCTTTTTCCATTTTACTATTTAAATGCATTCATATAGGATATGAACAGGTCTGGATTTGGGGGGGGAGGGGGGTTTGAATTCTTTCACTAGAAATTATATTTACGAGATTCAGTATCTATGCTTGTAACAACAGTTCATTTTCATGGGTGCGCAGTATATTCTCTTGTATACCACAATTTATTTATTCATTCTACTGTTGACAGATACAGGAATCCTATATATAAAAACCCAGACTCTGTAACATCCAAAATGACTGAAGGCTCCACCAACCGGAAATCAGTCCTGCAGTCAGTGCTGGGTTGTTAGGCAACAGGGGAGGCTGACCCACTGAGCCCTAAAGGACACTTAGCACACAAAGCCACTCTATCAACACAGGGTAGCAGCCAAAATGAGACAAAGAAACAGGTCAAAGATGAAAGAAATGGAGGAAAGCAAACTACGGGGTATAGAGTTCAAAACCACGGTTATAGGGTTTTTCAAGAATTTTCTAGAAAAGGCTGATAAATTTAGTGAGACCCTCAAGAATATGAAAAAGGACTAACTGGGAATTAAGCATATACTGACTGAAATCAAAAATAATATATAGAGATTCAACAGCAGACTAGAGGATCACAAGAATCAAGTCAAAGATTTGAAATACAGAGATGCAAAAAACACTCAACTGGAAAAGCAAAAAGGAAAAAGAATCCAAAAATATGAAGATAGAGTTGTTCCAAGATGGCTGACAGGTGAACACCTAGCCGCAGCCGCACACAACAATTTCAATAAAATACAACTAAAATATAAAATGGACATTACCCAGAACTACAGGAAAGTCGACTGACTGGAAATTCTACAACAAGAAGCAAGGAGAAAACCAGAAGGCAGCGCGGAGGAGCTGTAAAAGCCTGAGGTACGGAGACGCGCGGCGCACGCGGAGAGGATGGAGCCGGAGAGGAGGGAGGCCGAGTGCCTGGCTGGCGTTCCCTAGCGGGAAGGAGATAAACGCTCCGACTGTGCTGGGCCCCAGTTCCGACTGCTCTGAACCCCAGTTCTAGGCCAGAACCCGGGGACCCAGGCTCACACAGAGGGAGCTGGGCTGCAAGGCGGAACCTGGGGAAGCGGCGAAAGGGGGTCCCGGCGGCGAGCACAGTGCGTGCAGAAAAGGGACAGCCAGCTGTGCCACGGGACTGCCTGGCGGGAAGGAGACTGGGGCTCCCGACTGCTCTGAACGCCACCTCCAACTCCACTTCCAACTGAACCCCAATACCGGGCTCACTGGGAGAGAACATAGACTGTTTGGCAGCAGGCGAAAATTGAAGGCACCTTTCTCTCAGAGGCACTTGCAACGAATACTGAAGGACCCGCATAGGGAGGGGCTGACAGAAGCCAAAGCTGCAGGCTCCACCCTGAAACCCCGCCCCATCCAAGCAGAACACAGAGACTTTTAAGGTTACCAAATCAGGAAAACTGCGAAAATGCCGAGACGAAATAGATCACAAACGAAAGAAAAAGCGACTGGATATAGAGTTCAAATCTACGCTTATAAGCTTTTTCAAGAATTTCCTAGAAAAGATGGATAAGACCTATGAGGATATGAAAAGGGATCAACTAGAATTAATAAGGAATCAACAAGAAATGATAAGGGATCAAGAAGAAATAAAGAATACATTGACTGAAATAAAAAAAATATTATACAGAGTCCTAAAAACAGAATGGAAGATCCCAAGAATCAAGTCAAAGATTTGGAACATAAAGAGCCAGAAGACACTCCTCCACAGAAGCTAGAAGGCAAGAGAATCCAGAAAATTGTAGATAATGTAAGAAACCTCTGGGACAACTTCAAGTGAACCAACATCAGAGTTATGGGGGTCCCAGAAGATGAGAGAGAGCAAGATATCGAAAACATACTGAAAGAAATAGTGACAGAAAACTTCCCCCACCTGGTGAAAGAATTAGACTTACAAGTCCAGGAAGCGCACAGAACTCCAAACAAAAGGAACCCAAAGAGGACCACACCAAGACAAATCATAATTAAGATTCCAAGAGCAAAAGACAAAGAGAGAATATTAAAAGCAGCAAGAGCTAAGCAGGTAGTCATCTATAAAGGAGCACCTATACGATTGTCAGCTGATTTCTCAACAGAAACCATGCAGGCCAGACGGGAATGGTAAGAAATATTCAAGGTGATGAATAGTAAGAACCTACAGCCAAAGATAATCTATCCAGCAAAGCTATCACTCAGAATCAAAGGTCAGATAAAGAGCTTCACTAATAAAAAAAAGCTAAAGGAGTTCATCAACACCAAACCAGAATTATATGAATTGCTGAAGGGGGTTCTTTCAGAAGAGAAAGTAAATAAAGATTAAAATTATGAACAACAAATACGTAACTATCAACAAGTGAATCTAAAAACCAAGGGAATTAAAAAAAAATCTGATGAACAATATTAATTGTTGAATATAATAGAATCAGAGGTATGGAAGGGGAGTGAACTGACGATTCTTGGGGAAAAGGGGAGAGGGGGATGTGGGAAGAGACTGAACATAAATTGTGCACCTATGGGGAGTGGGGAAAGGGCAGAGGGTGGGGTGGGAACCTGGTGGAGGAGAGCAATGGTGGGCGGGAGAAGGAACATTTGTAATAATATGAACAATAAAAATTTATTAAAAATAATAATAAAAAAAATGAAGATAGAGTAAGGAGCCTCTGGAACCACTTTAAGAGTACCAAAATCAGAATTATGGGGGTCCCAGAAGAGAGAGAGCAAGATACTGAAAACCTATCTTGAAGAAATAATGCCAGAAAATTTTTAGTGAAAGAAAGAGACTTACAAGAACAGGAAGCGCACAAAAAGAACCTAAAAAGGACCACACCAAGACACATCCCAATTAAAATGCCAAGAGCAAAAGACAAAGAGAGAATATTAAAAACAGCAAGAGAAAAAACAGTTATCTACAAGGGAGCACCCATACGACTGTCAGCTGATTTCTCAACAGAAACCATGCAGGCCAGAGGGGAGTGGCAAGAAATATTCAAAGTGATGAATAGCAAGAACCTACAACCAAGATTACTCTACCCAGCAAAGATATCATTCAGAATTGAAAGGCAGATAAAGAGCTTCACAGATAAGAAAAAGCTAAAGGAGTTCAACACCACCAAACCAGTATTATATGAAATGCTGAAAAGTATTCTTTAAGAGGAAGAAGAAAAGGGTAAAGATAAAAATTATGAACAACAAATACATATCTATCAAAAAGTGAATCTAAAAATCAAGTGAATAAAAATATGATGATCAGAATAAACTGGTGAATATAATAGAATCAGGGGATAGAAAGGGAGTGGACTGACAATTCACAGGGGGAAAGGGATGTGGAGAGTGTGGGAAGAGACTGGACAAAAATCGTACACCTATGGATGAGGACAGAGTGGGGGGAATCAGGTGGAGGGGAGCTATGGGTGGAAAAAAGGAAAAATTGTAATAATCTGAACAATAAAGATTTACTAAGAGAAAACAAATTTTATACTACTTAGGGGAAATTATTAATAATGTTATTCCATTTCAATTCTATCAATGTAAACATTGGATATTCAGATTTAGTCAGATTGTGGGGGGAGGAAAAACAAACAAGAAAACAGGCCACCATTTTGCTTCCAAAATTTTGCATATTTGCTCAAGTTTACACTCAATGCACTTATGCAAATGATAGCATCTTTATCTGTTATGTAAATAATAGAAACCTCAAAGATTAAATATGCTGGTTTTAAACAGAGTAGTATCTGCTTTTAAATCAGATAAAAACAAGTAACTTTTCCCCATTAGGCTATCAGCAGATTATGGGACAGGCCATGAGTGGAATGACATTCAGAATATTGTAAGGCAAAAACTGCCAGTCAAGAATAATCTCACAGTTAACCTTCAGATATAAAGAAGAAATCAAGGCTTTCCCTGATAAATCAAAGCAAATAATCTTAGAGTAATCTGTAAAAAAAAAAAACCTCTTTATGTACCTCAAAATTACTACTAAAAATCTTTTTAAGAAGCCATTTTTAATGTAAGTATGAAAATTTTTAGCATATATTTAAAACATCTTATGAGCAAGTCAAGGATTTTAACACCATTCTATCACAATGTTCACACCAAGAAGGAGCCATATTTAGAAAAGACTGACATTTAAAAAATAATAAATGTTACCTTAATGCACGACTGAGTTTCTCATAGTTCATCGTAGGTTTATTTTTACGTTGTCCCCATTTTTGTGCAACCAGTTCAGGCTGATTCAGTTTAAACTCGCCTTCATCACCAACCCAAGAAATGCAGTCTCGAGCATCCTTGTCAGTAAGAAGTTCTAGCAAAAACTGCCACAGTTGAATCTGGCCATTGTTTCCTAAATTGACAGGGACAAGCAATGACCAAAGTGCTATGAATTAAAAAAGGGCAAAAGGCAACAAACAGGCTCTCTGGTTTTTTTAGCTCAGCTATGCTAAAAGCACAGATTTCCCCCAAAAAAACTGTCTAAGCACTACCAGAGAAATAGACCATACCAGATTTTTAACCTATGTAAAAAAAGCCTAATATGCTAAGTGTCTGACCATTAGTTTGATCAGTCACTATGCCACACACTGACCACTAGGGGACAGTCTGACAGGTACGTTAGCTTGCTGCTGGGGTCCAGGTGGATCCAGACTGGGTGAGACCATTCAGACACGCACTGGAGCCTTCCTGCAGTCCCCTCCCCCGCCCTAATTGTGCACCAGTGGGGCCCCTTGGGGGATGTCAGAAAGCCAGTTTCTGCCCAATCTCCACAAGCCAGGCCGAGGGACCCCACAGGTGCACGCATCCATGCACCGGGCCTCTAGTAGCGAAATAAAACAAAACATATATAACTTGATAAACATTATAAATACCAGATGAAAATGTAAAAATACCTGTTCTGTTCCCAGGTGAACTTCTATCTTCTCCTGAAATCCTTGGAGCTCTTTGTACTTTAGCTGCCTTTGCACTGCTATTTATACCTTTAATGGTAGTTGGTGTTGCAGACTGAACTGATGCTGGAATAATTTGGACAGCTGCAAATAAAGACAAGGGGGAAAACTGTTTCCACTTCTAATATAAGCAGGAAAAAAAACTACTGAAAGACATAAAATGCAATTAAGTGTAATGAATGCCCCCCTAATTACCTCAACAAAAAGCCTCATTTCAAATAGCCTTAATCCATAAGTTTTAAACAAAATTACAAAAAAGTTCCGAGGATAAGGTATGATGTTGGTTTGCATTACCGTACATGAATCTCAACTTAGTAAGAGTTGGTCTTATTTGTAAAATAACTCAGTGATGTATATACAGTCTTAAAGTATTTGTTCATTAAAAATGGTTTATCAACTGCTGGAGAAAATGTGGGCAAGTGAGGACTCACATTCCACTACTGATGAGAGTACAAACCTATACCGCCACTTTGAGGAAAACACTGGTAATATCTAGTAAGGTTGAATAGGTAGAAATCTTATAATATTACAACCAGAGAATTTCATGTATATTCTGACAAATGCTTATTCAGTGATGCTGACAAAGTTTAATATACAGCAGTGAAAATGAATGACACTGAGCAGTAAGTATCAACATGGGAAAGTCTCATAACTTTTACCCAAAAAGTTTAAATGTGCAAAACAATGCTATCAAGTGTTTATGGTTACATAATTGGTAAAAATCTACACAGAATGATCAACATCCACTTCAGGATAGTCATGTAAAACAGGATCTACAACTAGTAAAGTTTAGATTTTATATATAAAGATTTAGTTTTTAATAGCGTACGGTGTTATGGTATATAGATGGTGGTTATCATTTATTACTTCTTTGTATATCTAAAATACTTCATAAGTATTTAGTTTGTTCATTTTCTACTATCTCGCAGTACTGAATAAAGGAAACATTTCTTATTGATAAATGGGCCTTATGTTATGGGCATGAATACTCACGTTGATCAATTGTAACTATCTCGTTCATCTGTTGCTCCTGGCTTGCCAATACATCTGAAGAACACACATAAAAATTTGTTTCCATTTAAAACCAGAATATAAACCCCAATCCAGTAAAATTGAATTTAATAAATTTGATTCTTTTAAAAGAAACTTCACAATTAAAGGCAAAACCAAGCAATCAATTGAAACTTATTGGCATAACTTTAATTTTTTTTTAAATATATTTTATTGATTTTTTACAGAGAGGAAGGGAGAGAGATACAGAGTTAGAAACATCGATGAGCGTCATCGATCAGCTGCCTCTTGCACACCCCCTACTGGGGATATGCCCGCAACCAAGGTACATGCCCTTGACCGGAATCGAACCCGGGACCCTTCAGTCCCCAAGCCGACGCTCTATCCATTGAGCCAAACCGGTCCCAACTTATTGGCATAACTTTAAAAAATATCTGATAGTCACTTTTAATTTCTAAGTGTAAATATCTATGTCTAAATCTATTTATCTATTTTACATAAAACCATGTAAAACACAAAAATCTTCAATATCAGATCATAAATGAGAATATATACCACAGTGAAATTATTTAGATATATACTCTTCAAAAAGGCTCCCTCTCAAGAGAAATCTTTGTAATTTAATAATTTTTTCTAATATCCACTTTTAAATAATACTGCTTTAATTTGATAATGCTTCAAATATAGATACATTTTCAATAAAATTGTAAATGTCCTAAATGTCACAACTGAACTAGATAACTTAAAATGTCTACAAATACAGCCCCCAACGTAAGAGTACATCATAAAAGGCCCTAACACAATCCGTTAGAGACCCATTCGTTACTCATCTATTGCTATTCCTTACTCAAACGCTATTCTTTACCTCTCCAATAAGAGGAATGCTTCCCAGTCTCTATTACTTTAGCCTATTCACTGCCTATTATTGCCCTGAAGCTTCTGTCTTAAAATTGAATTGTACCCACCAGCAATCATGTGTGTACTGAGAGTGAGTTTTGAGACCTGGGCTCCCAACACAATTCTACTTAGGGCACCATGCCAGGACCCAATCCCAGACACACAGAGCTGGAAAGAAGTCTGAATCCACCTGTCAGATGGGAATTTTGGAAATTTTCTTTGGTTGTCCTGAGTTTGGGAGTTTAAACAACTACATGGAACTAACCTAGGAGAGATCTGGGTTCTGATCCAAGCACTCACTCACTGGATGTGTGACTTTGGTTAAGTTACTCAACTAACTTGAACATTAATTCGTGTTTAAATGAGATATCCTCAACCTACCACCTCATGAGGTTGTCCTGATGCTTAAAAACAAATTCCTTTCAGAAACATAGTGCCTGAAAACAGTTAACTTTTCACCAAACTGAAGATGCTACCGTTTTATCCAGATTCCTAGTTTTGAGCATTTTCCCCAAGAACTGCTGTCTTGGAGAAAAATCCATGCCTTATGTTTGCAACCCCCAAATTTTATAAAAGTACCTTGAATAGGTAAAAGATGCTACTGAAACTGAAACTGCTCTGTTTGTGACTATAAATGAACAAAGGTGCCCTAGTCTAAAAAGGCAAGAGAGTCACCATCACAAAGCACAGGTGTGACCAACCAATAAAATTAGCCTCTAAGTCCTAATTCTCAGAAAGAGTTTTATCTTTTTCCTGGGATCTCTCAAAACAGAAGGCACAACATGGAAAGAGAGAGGTTTTTGAAAGCTTGTAATAAGACCATGTAGGTATTCTGTGGTTTGCAGTCTTAATACAGAGATAAAATAAGATAATACATATAAAACTCTTACCACAGACTTATCCAGTGAATAAATGGTAAGTATTATTGCTATTATCAATAAGCAGTTACGTTACCAAAAGGAAAAAATTAAACTTAAGTTACAATATAAATAGATAATAACTCCAGTCATACATTTTCTAAGAAGCTCCAGATGACTCCAGAGAATTTCTCCCCGAGGAACCCGCTGAAAGAAATCTTCTTGGTTGAGACTACATAAATCTCGTCCTGAAATGTTGAGTGTGCTGAGGTCTATATCAGTCATGCTGAATTCCTTCATGACCCAAACTACCCAATGCAAGACTTGGTCTGTAGACCACTGTATAGGATCTAAAAAGAAAAAATATTACCATTAGCATTAGCCTAGTTCCATCTTAGATATTATATACATTTACAATTAACTTGTTAATAACACACATACACTCACACACAGGTAAAATCCAGACAGCCATTTTCTCCTACGGAAACAGTATATAAAGTAAAAAGAGTTTTATGCTACATTTTCTCCATAGCTATTTTTCAATTCCTTAATCTAAATTATTGATGGATTTCCTATGGTTCTACATCAATTAGTCTGAAATTTTATCAAGAAAAACAAAATGCTAAATTGCTCTGCAGTGGCCCAACTGGAATAATGCATGTGATTATGGAGTAACTTATCCAAGTTTAAAAAATTATCTTGTAGCAGTATATGATTTGGTGCACTGAAAAAAAAAAAAAAAAGGGAGAGGAGATCATTTTCTAAGAAGCTTATTATCCAAAATGTGAACAAAGTACCCATTCCTCCCTTCCACTTCTTGTAAAAAGCTGGCTGCTCTGCATTTACCCTTTTGGTGGCACTTACCATACAACATACTAACTGCCTCTTATACTTAGCTTTCTTCCCTTATAATTCATTAAGGTCTTAAATTCAAGTACTGTGTAATATAAACCATTCTATCTTCAAATACCACAGTGCCCTGTGCAATCATTTGTTGAATTTACAAAAGGTGAATCCAAATAGTTTCATGTCCTCATCACTTTTTATTGATTAAATTCACAAATGAAAATATGGCCAACACATACAAATATTTCATTGTTGTATCCCTGGGACCTAACAGCATTCTACCCAGAGAGGTTTAATAAATACTAGCTGAATTAATTTGGTATAGGTATTGATGCATGGAGATGATCAATCCAAATGATAGTGGTTATATGCCATCAAGATGCATACTATTCAATATGAAAATAAGTGATAAAAATAACATTTAGGTACTTATCAAGAGCCAATTTATAGAACATAATCAATGTAAAAATACAGGACTAATAACCACAGAATTGATTATTTGATTTGATTTTTCACAAAGAAGTTAAGGAAGGAGGATTCTGAGAAGATGGCAGCAGTTTTAAATTCCTACGAATTAAAAAAAAATCACTAAAAGCAACTGAAGAGCAAAACAAAAAATCCATTAATATTTACACTAAAATCAGGGGATAAGTTATCCCATGGACCCCAAAATGCATTCAAGGTGAAGGCAACGCAGTAATAGCCACAAGCCCTCCATAGTATTAATATCAGCATCTGTGCAGAACACACAGGGAAAAGCAAAGAGACATCTCACATTATCCACTGTGAGAGCTGGAAAACCTCAACAGTTAGGAAATATTCATTAAAAGCACAACAGGCCAAGGTGAAAGAAGCAACTCAAAATAGTTTTGCCCAATCCAACAGCAGCTGAATACAAAGGTCTGTGGTAAGGTTTAAGGGGCCAGATCAGTGTAACACCTGTGACTTCTTCAAACTGAGCCAAAATCATTCTAGAGAATGGACCACAAAGAGGAGAAACTAGTGGGAGAGGAATTCAAACTGAGTATAAGAAAAAGAAAAGAGGAGTACCAGATAAAAGTGGAGTAAGGAAACAGACATGAACTGAGAAACAAATGGCTCTATGTCTGAATTCTACTTAAAAATAAGAGAGGAGGGGGTGCGGACGGTTAGAAAAACTATGCTAGACCACTCTTCTCTTTAAAAGTCCAAGAAAGCACCCTAGCCAATTTTGGCTCAAGTCCTCATCACTTTTTACTGATTAAATTCACAAATGAAAATATGGCCAACACATATAAGTATTTGGCTCAGTGGATAGAGCGTCGGCCCATGGACTGAAGGGTCCCGGGTTTGATTTCAATCAAGGGCATATACCTTGGTTGAAGGCTCAATTCCCAGCCATGGTTGGAATGTGCAAAAGGCAACCTATTGATGTGTCTCTCATATCTGTCTCTTCCCATCCCTCCCACTCTCTAAAAAAAAAAAATATATATATATACACACACACACACACACACACACACACACAGGTGATGATTAACAATAGTCTATGAAAGCTCCTTTTAGATAAAAAGAAACCAAAAAAGTACCAAGATTAAAAAAAAATTAGGAGAAATATAGTTAAAAACAGTCTGATTTGTTTTTCTGAAATAACTAGAAGCCTGGTGCACAAAATTCGTTCACTGGGGGGGGCAGGGTCCTCAGCGGTCTGTGCCCTTTCATAGTCTGGGAGCCTTAGGGGATGTCTGACTGTGGGAAGCGGGCATAAGGGCAGTTGGACATCATTAGCACTACTGCGGACGCAGGCTGCTGCACTCACCAGCGGTCAGCCTGGCTTGTGGTTGAGCTGTGCTCCCTCTATGGGAGTGCACTGAACCCCTGGTGGTCGGTGCATATCACAGAGACCAGTTGTTCTGCCATTCAGTCAATTTTCATACTACCCTTTTATTATATAAGATATCAGTACTTCTTATTTGACATTACTAGTTCTTAACAAAAAAAGTTAAAATAAAAAATTTAAAAAGCTTATGGAAGTATCTAAAGAAAATATTTTTGTACAGCTGTAAAATGTGTATTTTTAGCTACGTGCTATTACAAAAGAGCTGAAAAGTTTTTAAAAAATTAAAAGTAATAAAGATACAGGAAGCTAAGGTTAATTTATTGGTGAAATAAGCTCTTTTGGCAAATTATGTATGATGAGGTTACAAAGTCTGCAACTCCCTAGGCCTTCACAGTCACTCACCACTTATTCACAGGCTCCCAAGGAGCAACTTGCAGTTCTGTAAACTCCACTCATGTGTATCCTTTCTATCTTCTGTATCACATTTTTGCTGTACCTTTTCTATGTTTAGATACACAAATACTTGCCATTATGTTACAATTGCCAACGGTGTCCAGTACAGTAACATCATATATTGTGGGTCTACAGCCTAGGACCAAAAGAGTATACCAGACAGTCTAAGTGTGTGATAGATAGGCTGTAGCACGTATGTATGTACATGTGCTGTGTTTGCACAATGACAAAATTGCCTAATGGTGCATTTCTAAGAATGTTCCCCCATTGTTAAGTGAAGCCAGATTGTATTTCTTTATATTCTTAGCACCCAGGACAGTATTTGTCCATCACGTTTTATAGTCCAAAAAGGGAGAAATACAGAAAATCAATATTCTGCCTAAAAATTCTACATTTAAAACAAATTATGACTTACCCTAGTATCTTCTATGTCAAGCTTAATTCTTATTATTCTACCTAACATGTAATTATGTACTTTCATTTTTTTTTTTTTAAATATATTTTATTGATTTTTGTACAGAGAGGAAGGGAGAGAGAAAGAGAGTCAGAAACATCGATGAGAGAGTGTCATTGATCAGCTGCCTCTTGCACATCCCCTACTGGGGATATGCCCGCAACCAAGGTACGTGCCCCTAACCGGAATCAAACCCAGGTCCCTTCAGTCCCCAAGCCGACGCTCTATCCACTGAGCCAAACCGGTTTCGGCCATGTAATTATGTACTTTCTTACCATAGGGTATCCCAAGGCGTTCTTGCTCTTTCCTGTAACCTTCTAGTGCGGCAGCCCATCTTGTCACTTGCTCCGAGGTTTCATCTGAAATGGTTGTAATGTGTTTTGTGCCATCAAGAGTTATAACCTGAGCTTCTTCAACAAGATGTGCTTCTGCTTCAGCATGATGAGCATCTGGATCAATGACTACTTCAACTGTTTCCGCAGGTTTAACAATTTCAAGGATGTTGAGCTTAGGTTCAATTCCTTTAACAGTGAATTAAAAAAAAATATCCAGATGAAATTCACTAACAAGATTTAGTTGAATTTATATCTTCTCAAATGACAGTGCAAAACTCCATTTTAAATGTTTAGCAATATGTCTAGAGAATTTAAGAGTCCTATTAAATGATAAAAACAACAATTCAATAGAATTTTGGTATTCTACATATATAAAAGGCTAATATGCAAAGTGTTCCCTCGGGAGTTTAATTGCTCACTATGATGGGCAGCATGGAACATGGCGGGCAACCAGCGGTAGTGGCAGGGCACTGAAACAGCAAGGGAAAGAGCCGGGGAGGTGGTGGTGGTGGTGGGTAACCATGTGGTGGAGGCACAATGGTGGCAAGAGAAGAAGGGGAGGAGGCAGGGAACCTGATCAGCCCTGATTGCCAGCCAGGCCTAGGGACCCTACCCGAGCGTGCACCAGACCTCTAATCCTATCTAATAAAAGAGTAATATACAAATTGACCATCACTTCAACACAAGATGGACGCCCCCGTGTGGACATAAGATGGCCACTACAAGATGGCGAGGAGAGGGCAGTTGTGGGTGATTAGGCCAGCAGGGGAGGGCAGTTGGGGGGAGGGGAGGAAATCAGGCCTGCAGGGGAGGGCAATTGAGAGAGACCAGGGGAGCAAGGGAGGGCAGTTTGGGGTTACCAGGCCAGCAGGGGAGGGCATTTATGGGCAATCAGGCCGTCAGAGGAGCAGCTAGGCCTCAATCAGGCTGGCAGGGGAGTGTTTAGGGGGCAATCAGGCTGCCAGGCAGAAGTGGTTAGGGGCAATCAGCCAGGTGGGCAGGTGAGTGGTTGGGAACCAGCAGTCCTGGATTGTGAGAGGGATGTTCCAAACTGTAGAGGATACAGACTGGGCTGAGGGACACCCCTCATGCACAAATTTCATGCACTGGGCCTCTAGTCCTATATAATAAGTGCTTAGTACGTTAAGTGTCCGGTCGTCCGTTCAACCAATCAAAGCTTAATATACTGATGATATGCTAAGGCCGCTCAACCACTTGTTATGACATGCACTGATCACCAGGGGATAACTGACTAGCTGAATAGTCACTATGACGTGCACTGACCAGCAGGGAGAAGACACTCCGACAGGTAGGTTAGCTTGCTGCTGGGGTTGGCCAATCAGGAGTAAGACGGGCAGGACATGCTCTGGAGCCCTACGGCGCCCCCCCCCAGTCCCGATTGTACACCAGTAGGGTTCCTCAGCCTGGCCTGTGCCCTCTCACAATCGGGGGCCCTTTGGTTTCTGCTTGATCCTGCAGGCCAGGCCAAGACCCCACCGGTGCACAAATTCATGCTCCAGGCCTCTAATATTATGTAATAGTGTTGCGTCAATTAATATTTCCTGATTTTGAGCATTGTGCTGTGGTCATGTAAAAGAATTCCTTCTTTTTAGAAAACGCATTTATTTAGGCATAGAAGGAAAACATGTCTGCAACTTACTAGTAAATAGGTTAAAAAAAAGGGGGGGGGGGTGAAGAAGAAAATAAAGCAACTTCCTTTGCAAATTTCTCCTTTTGTGCTCAACTGCAGAGTCTAGATCTCCTTTGCAGCAAGGGTACCCAATGTGACTCAGGCTCTAGAATGAGCCTTCTATTGAGAATTGAGTTAGGAGGGGATAGGTAGGACCACGGCATCCATTTTTTGGCTCCTGTGGAGCACTGAAAAGGTAGCATGGTTCTAGCTTATGGCAGGCAGGGCAATTGTCAGTCCTGCACTGCACTGCGGCCGAGTCATTCTTAGAAAGCCAACTAGAACCCATTCTTCCAGCCCTCTCTCATGCTGTTATTTATTAATTACCCTACCTTGCTGATTAATCCAGTAAAATGTGTGATACTATCTGCTTTACCATGACAGATAGATTAATTTAAAAGCCTTAACATTTGGCTATAATATCACATTAATTAATTTAAACAACCATCTAAAACACCCAAAACTTATAAAATTTAGTTCTCATATTAGAAAAACATGAGTTCAATTTTATTTTTATTTTTTTTTAAATATATTTTATTGATTTTGTACAGAGAGGAAGGGAGAGAGATAGAGAGTTAGAAACGTCGATGAGAGTCATCGATCAGCTGCCTCTTGCACACCCCCTACTGGGGATATGCCCACAACCAAGGTACATGCCCTTGACCGGAATCGAACCAGGGACCTTTCAGTCCCAAGCCGACGCTCTATCCATTGAGCCAACTGATTTCGGCATGAGTGCAATTTTAAATAACTACACAAAAATTAACTTACCTTGATAAGAAATCACCTGTACACTAAGTTGTACAGTTCCATCTGTCTTTACTCCTTGATCAAATAAACTTCGTTCTGGATCCAGCTAAATATGGGTAAAAGGAGTAAGATTATTTTCACAAATTATCTGATTTAATAAAAATGGATATATCAAAACTATACTTAACTACTGAAGTATACTAATTATAAGAACACATTTAATTATGCAAGTTGTAATATCATGTAATTCTTTGCCAAATTTTAAAATATTTTAACCACTGTGGTAATAATTAAGGACAACATAAAGAACAGAATTTATTTTAAATTGCAGTTTTCTCTAGCTCTAGAGGCTAATTTAGGATTTTAAATAATGCCAAAAAGCAATTGTTTATTCCCTAAAAGTATTTAAAGTAGAAAACAATGCAATTTATATGTCATTAAAAAGCAAGGATATTTAATTAGTGGGGACAATTTAAATAAGTTTTTTATATAACTAGAGGCCCAGTGCATACAATTCATGCATGGGGGAAGGGTTAATCTCTCAGTCCGGCCTGGGTCCTCTCAAAATCCAGCACCCCTTGCAGGATGTCAGGCAGTCGGGCATCCCTCTTGCAATCCAAGATGCTGCATACACCAGTGACCGTACTTTTCACACAGGTGAAAGGCATCTTGCTGTTGTATGAGCAGCTACATTTATTTTTGCCCTGATTATAAAAAGTAGTACATAACGTGATCCTTCTGAGGCAGTAGTACCATTTTCCCCATCTTATGGGTGGAAAAACTGAAGCTGAGAAAAGTTAAGTAAATGGCTTTGTCACACAGTTGTAAGTGTCAGCATCAGGGCTGACCACAAAATGTGCAAGTCAGAGTCCATGCATGTCATCGCTACAGCATCCTGCCTTTTCTATGTTAGAGTAGCCTTGCCAGGTTTTAATTTTCAAATCTAACAGACTACTCCCAATACATAGGGTAGAGTCCCTAGGCCTGGCCAGTGATCAAGGCCATCTGTGGGGCAACTGGCAGATGGGGCAATTGGGGGCCCTGCTGACACCGGCCTTGGCTGGTAGCCTGACGCCACCCAATGGCCAGCCCCACCCTGAACACTGCTGCCAGTCGCCTCCCTCTGGGGACACACACGCACGCACGCTCGCATGCACGCACGCTCGCTCGCATGCACGCACGCGCGCATGCTCAATGCACGAGCTGCCCCCAACCTCCTGCGTTGAACGTCTGCCCCCTGATGGTCAGTGCACATCATAGTGACACGTCACTCCTGCCAGTCATTCTGCCATTCGGTCAATTTGCTTATTAGAGTTTAATTATATAGGATACTTGTTGTTATCAACCAACTATACACATTTAAGGTCAGTGTTAATGCTAAATCTCTGATCACAAAAATAAGAACCTTATGACTTTGCTACCTGACCTAGATATGGATATCTTTACTCATAATTCTATATCCTTTAAGTATGATTGCTTTTTACCTTCATAGCACCTTATACTGAATGCATTTTACACACCGACAAATTGATGACAAAAAGTAATTTGGATTTTCAGATATGCACTTAAATGCTGAAATATAAATTAAAAAAAAAAAAAGATCACCTGAATATCTTGTAGACAAATTTCATGAGCATCCAAAGAACACTGTAGTCTTGGTTCTAGTAGTTTCTTTAAATTGCCTATTGGCTCATTGATGTCTATGGCCTGGCTTACACATTCAGCTGGGGTGTAGGTTTGTTCTACAATGCTAAATGTTAAAGAATATAATGGTTAAAAATTACATTTTTGCCCTGAAAATTAAAGTAACAATATGTTCAAACCAAAACTGATTACCAAAACACATTTCTGGTCTTTGAAACTCATGTGTGCATAGACACCATTCATAGTGGTAAACTTATCACCAAATAGTGCTGCCAAAAGACTAAGCCTGAAGTGATATATTGCTTCTTAAATTAGGTTATGTAAAGCAACACTGCAGCCCCCATCTTGGTGCACATGCTCCCTCAGGCCATCTGCCACATCGTGAGCAGCCCTACAGAGAAGCCCATGCGGTCAGGAAGTGAATAGTCATATCACCAGTCTCATGAGTGATCCTGTAAACAGATATGCTAGCCCAGTCAATTCCTCAGATGACTATAGCCAGACTGACAGCTTCACTGCAAATATATGAAATACCCTGAAGTAAGAGAAACATGTAGTCTCTACTGTTTCTTCTGTTAAAGAAAGTAGCATAGTGAAACATACTGAAATTCTCTATCAAAAAGATTAAGATCTCTTGGGCAGTCATGACTTTTTCTGTGAAGAAAACATCCCTGTGCGAGGATATGGAGGCAGAGGACAGGACCGAGGACAGCTAACATGGGGTTTTCCTAAGAGCCAGAGCCAGACCTCTCCTCTGAGGAGAGGAGGTGGTATGAGTGACCACAGCCTGCTGGCAGAAAATACGGAGAGCTGCTAAACAGCTAGTATAAATCTCAATTATGCCAGATGAGGTAGTTCTAGAGATCAGTGTACAACATGGTTCTTATAGTTAAATACACAGTATTGTACAATGAAAAATTTGTTAAGTGCTTTTACCACAATAAAACAAATTTTTTAAAAACTAAGGTCTAAAATCTTAGCTGTAACCTAAACACTCAGCATCCTATTCATCAATCTTAGTAATTTGGTCCATTCTCTTTGCAATTATTCTAAACTTTTACTAATCAGAAGTTCTCTACTTCTCTTTAGTCCTTTTTACTTTCATTGTATTATCTCACCAGGACCACTGCCCTTCTCACTTAATGAAGTAATATTCTATTGCTATTCCAAGAACTAATACCTTTCACTACTCTATATGCTTAGTACTATGCACATAATTACTCATATGCCGGTATAACTTCTCAAACACAATGTGCCTCTGCAAGGACAGGTCTCTGTCTCCTATATACTCCTGACAGTTCATAGTAGCTACTTATAGATATTTGTAACATTAGTTCAGGTTGGGAATTAAACTCTATAGGAAATCAAAATATCCAGCACAGATGAAAGAATAAAAATAATCAAACAGTGCCATGAGGGATTAAAACCATCACAATCAATTGCTTGATTATTACTAGCTATGCACATTACTATCTTTTTAAAAATATATTGATTTTGGAGCAGAGGGAGAGATAGAAACATCAATGATGAGAGAGACTCACTGATGGGCTGCCTCCCGCACACCCCCTACTGGGAATCGAGCCAGCAACCTAGGTATGTGCCCTTGACCAAATCGAACCCAGGACTCTATGGTCCGTAGGCCAACGCTCTTTTCACTAAGCCAAACTGGCTAGGGCCGTGATCAGCCAACTGCAGCTCTCGAGCCACATGCAGCTCTTTGGCCCCTTGAGTATGCCTTTTCCACAAAATACCACAGCCTGAGCAAGTCTATTTTTAAGAAGTGGCATTAAAAGAAGTTTAAGTTTTAAAAATTTGGTTCTCAAAAGAAATTTCAATCATTGTACTGTTGATATTTGGCTCTGTTGACTAATGAGTTTGCTGACCACTGGGCTAGGGCATATTACTATCTTTTAAAACTATCTTTCCCTCTCAGCTATAAATTCATTAAGTCAGAGTAAAAAAGCAATACATTATTCCCCAAAACACTGTCAGTTGGAAAAAAAAAAAAAAAAAAAAAAAAAGGGCCCCCAAAGAACTCTGGCTTGATTCTTAATTTTAATGTTATGAGTAATATATAAATTCAGATAATACCTTTCTTCTGTGCATTCTGTTTTCTCTGTTCCATCTATTTCAATTTCTATCAGCTCCTCTGCTTCTCTTTTTGTCATGTTTGAAGTAATTCAAAAGCTCAGCCCTGTAAGAGTTAAATTTTAAGACATTTAAAAATTATCTGCATAAAGAGAAGTGCTACAGAAGTAGTAGAGACCCAATTTAAATAAGAGCAGTGGGTAAGTAAAACAGGAAGAAGTAATCTTCACACATAAAAGAAAATCCACATGATATTGATAAACTAGTTTTTGTTTACATGGTGCTTATTAGCCTGACATAAATTCTTCATAGTTCTATTGGATTTATCGGAACTTGTTCAGTCCAATCTCAGTCAATAAATTAACTCAAGCTACTTCAAAATCAAATGAAAGGTATGCCAACTATATTAAAGCAACTTTATTCTCAATAACAGGTTCAAACCTGTAGCTTAAAAATCAATGAACGCAGAGATGAACCACTATTGTTTACCTAAAAGCTGTACGGTATTAGCAGGACAATGTACTTTATTAGCATTGTACTGATAGTGATAGAAAACTAAAGTTAATCCTAGCTATGATTTGTTAAAAATTATTAAGGTTGCTCTCACATGTCCTCTTATAGGAAGGGAGACCAATAAGAGGCTGGGGCTCTCCAGCAGAATACATACATAGAATGCACCTCTAGCAGACTGCCTAGGCCCTAGGCAACTTTCGCTTTCTTTTATTCTAACCTTAGCTTAGTAGAACTTCCCTTTCCCCAATAAAGTCTATTCCTTAACATACTATTTGTCAACTGTGTTATTCATCTTGAGCACTAGAGCAAAACAAGTGGTGACCCAGTAGGACAACATAAATCCCACCTGGTTTGAAGGAACGTTATGTTTACAGAAGTATACAAAATACTCTGAACAGTACAGTACTTCACTCTTAATAGGCACTCTATTAAAAAAAATGTTTTAAAAACTATTATCCTATATAATGAAAGTCTACTGTGCTAAGTGTCCAGTGGACCAGTAGCTATGATATACCAATGATATGCTAAGGCCGTTCAACCACTAGCTGATGTGCACTGTCCACCAGGGGGCAGACAGTCCACCAGTCAACCAGTCGCTATGACAAGCACTGACCACCAGGGGGCAGGCACTCCAACCAGTAGGTTACCTTGCTGCTGCTGGACTGAGTCGACTGGACTGAGCTAGACAGACATGCCCTAGAGCCCTCCTGCAGTCTCTCCCCAGCCCCAATCGTGCACCAGTGGGGTCCCTCAGCCTAGCCTGTGCCCTCTCGCAATTTGGGACCCCTTGGGGGATATTGGAGAGCTGCTTTTGGCCCAATCCCACAGGCCAGTACAAGGGATTTCACTGGTGCATGAATTCATGCACCAGGCCTCTAGTATACCATATAAGATTGACCTCAGGGCCCCTAAAGGCTTAAATGTGAAAGATACAACTATACAGCCAATAGAAGAAAATGGTGGGGATTTTTTTCCTATGGTTTAAGAATAGAAAATAATTTTAACATTCCAAAAGTCAAACCATAAGGCAAAACACTAATGCATTTGAATATATAAAAATTAAGATTTATGTTCAATAGACAGGGTAATGACTGAGAAAAGATGTTTCGATATCCAAAAGTGACAAGGGAATAATGAATAGACATTAAGTTCCTGCAAATTGATAACAACCCCCCAAACGTCAAGACAAATTAGAAAAGCAGGTGAAGTATAGGAAATGGGAAAGTAACATAGGGAAAACCAAAATGGCTAAGGACATAAAGAAATGTTCAAACTCAAATAATTCAAAAATGCAATTTAAAACAAAAACTTTATACTTTGTGTGTGTGTGTGTGTGTGTGTGTGAAAAATGTAGTGTTGAATACTGAAATAAGCAGGGATGTGGAGCCATAAGAGTCCCCTGCCTCTGTTGAAGTACAGATAGGTCTGAAGAAAAATCTAGTACTGTTCAAATCAAGTACTCTGACACCTAGGGCCCAGCAATCATGCACATAGATAAGCATTCCAGAGATATTGATAAGGACATTCAGGGAATAGCTGGAAGCTAGAGCCAATGAAAGTACCGAGATATAAGAAAATGTGAAAGTAGCCCACACAGTGGAACTTTAGGAACAGCTAAAAACAAGGAAGTAATGCACCCACACACAAATCATAAAAGGTGGGCCCTCTCCCTCCTGGGAGCCCTGCCCTTCCTAGCCTTTCCCCTCCCCTTCTTGGCCCCGGGGAAGGTTACCATTAACTTCCTGGTTCCCAAGCTCCTGGGGCCCTTCCTTTACGTCTATACCTAAACCCAGGACTTCCAGGAATTACTCTTTCTAACTCTGTAATATAGTCAATAAATGTTCTCTTACCAAATATATATATATATATATATATATATATATATATATATATATATATATATACACACACACACACACACACACACATATATAATAAAGTATCATATACTGGAAAAAGAAGTGAAAAATAGGTTTATAGCAGAAGAGAACTTTTAAAAGATATTTATGTTTTATTTTCAGGGCCATTAAAGAGGCCGACTCCCCTATCCATAACCAATTTTATTTTTTTAAAGGTTAGAAAACAATCGAATTTTCCCAGAACTTTGGGAAAAATAAGAAAAGTATATGAAAAAGTAACCAGAGGCTGAGAAATGGCCAAGGCTTACCAGCAGGGTTATCTATGGTTCCTCATAATATAAGCACTAAAACAGGGGCTTGTTAAAAAGAAATTTATCCTGTCATCTTCCAAAAAAGTTAAAGATCAGTCTCTAGAAGGTGCTCCCCACTTCTCTTCCTCCCCCCCCCCATATACTTTAGAAAAAATACCCCCATATACTTTAGAAAAAATACTCATAGTCTCTAAATGTATCCTTTTTTCTTTCTCCGGTCTCCAAATTTAGCTTGAAAGTAAGGAAGATTGGGAAATTATCCAAGTCTTGATATCACTGCTTGAGTGAGTCTTAGCTCTTTTTCTGGAAGAAGATTCTTTTACAAAACTCACAGTGGAGGAGAGAACATCACTTGGATCCTTTCCACCAAAGGCTGCCCTGGTTCCTCAAAGCCTTTCACAAAATGCAAATAAACTAAACTTTAAAAGTCCAGAAAAGGCTAGTATTCTTTCAAATACAGTTACATTTAATATTCTCCCTTGGAGCTACAGATAAAGTTGAGAATTAATCCTAGCTGGTTTGGCTCAGTGGATAGAGTCTGTAGACTGAAGGGTCCCAGGTTCGATTCAGACATGCCGGGCTGAAAGCTCAATCCCCAATGGGGGGGCGCTGCAAGAGGCAGCTGATCAATGATTCTTTCTCATCATTGATGTTTCAATCTCTCTCTCCCTCTCCCTTCCTCTCTGAATCAATAAAAATATATGTAAAAAAACAAAACTTGAGAATTATCTTCTTCACTGGAAAACATTAATAGTTTAGGACAGCTTTTCCCAATAAGGGCAATACTTATATGTAATACTTATCTATATTTAACATACAAAATGTATTAAAGCCGAGACTGGTTTGGCTCAGTGGATAAAGCATTGGCCTGCGGACTGAAAGGTCCCGGGTTCGATTCCGGTCAAGGGCGTGTACCTTGGTTGCGGGCACATCCCCGGTAGGGGGTGTGCAAGAGGCAGCTGATCGATGATTCTCTCTTATTGATGTTTCTAACTCTCTATCCCTCTCAATTCCTCTCTGTGTAAAATCAATAATATATATATATTTTTAAATGTTTGTTTTTAAAAATAAAGTCAACAGCCCAGCCAGTGTGGCTCGCTGGATCCCATGCAACAAACAGGAGGTCGCAGGTCTGATCCCAAGAGCACTTGCCAGGGTTTCTGCACCTACACCATTAGTGGGACTGGAAGAAAGACATCTAAGGATGATGTTTCTCCCTCATGGATGTCTCTCTTTCTCGGCCCCCTCTCCCTTCCTTTCTCTAGAAACAATTAAAAATATGTTAGCCCTCACCGGTTTGACTCAGTGGATAGAGCATTGGCCGGACTCAAGGGTCCCAGATTCCGGTCAAGGGCATGTACCTTGGCTGTGGGCACATCCCCAGAAGGGAGTGTGCAGGAGGCAGCTGGTCGATGTTTCTCTCATCAATGTTTCTAACTCGCTATCTCTCTCCCTTCCTCTCTATAAAAAATCAATTAAAAATTATTTTAAAAATAAACAGTTAAGAAAAAAAAGCAAAATGCACGCGGGCGCCTGTGTGTGTCTGTGTGTGTGAGTGTGTGAGTGTGTGTGTGTGTGTGTGTGTGTGTGTGTGTGTGTGTAGAGAGAGAGGGAAAGCAGACGTGGAGAATGACTGATACTTGACTTCCCCCACCAGGTGACGGTGTTCACTGTATAATTTTTCAAGTTTCCTGTAGATTTCAAATTTTATAAACAAAAATTGGAGGGGGAAAAATAAAGTTTTAATTTACTATTATTCAGCCTCCACATCCTCTTATGAACAGCCTCCATTGAGCATCTATTCAACATCTACCTTCTTCCTTCAGAGACTATGTATCTCCCATAACACGCAGTCCTCTGTACCATGCAATCCAGGTGAAACGGCTTAGGCCAACCTGGCCAAACAATGAACGGGGTCGGAAGGTCCGGATCAAGCCCTGAAGGAGGGGTGAATCCCTCTAGGTCGTTTGGAAAGACCCGATGGGCTTCTTTGGAAGTTTCAGGCACAACACGGTGCTGGCCATGTCATCGCCGCCCGGTGCCCGGCTCTGCCCCTCCCCGGGGCCGGCCAGGCGGGCCTCAGTGCCTCCTCCTCGCCGGGCAGCCCCGCCGCGAACCCCCAAACCAGGGTCCCCCCAAACCAGGCGCCAACGGCGGTGCTTCCGGTCCGCACGAAACACGTCAGGAAAGTTGGCAAACTGCGTTAACCCATCACGTCCCCCTGGTCTCACGGCCACTTTTTAAAGGAGACCCAACCACCAACACGGAAACATGAACGCATGGCGTGGGTGCAGCGCGGGGGCCGTTCTAGGAAGACCTCCGGGCGGGAAGGGAGCGCCGATCGCGGGGCCGCGAGGCTGGTGCGGCTTCTTCCCGGGAAATTCCGGGGGCCGGGCCGCTCCGCCCGCGGGGGCCGCGGGGGCTGCGGCCGCCGCGCCGGGCGGGGAAGGAGCGGGGCCGGGGCCCGGGGCGCGCGGCTCCCCCGCCGGCGCCGCGCGCCCCCCGCCCGCCCCTCCGTCCCTCCCTCCGCTCCCCGCACGGCTCCCGCCCCTCCCCACCCGGCTCCCTCAAGTCTCCACGAACGGAAATGGGAGTCACGGCGCCGGGGACCAGCGGAAACAAAACACAGAGGCGGCCGCGGGGGGGCCGCGCCGGGGGAGCAGGCCCCGGAGCCACGCCGGCCCGCCGCGCGGCGCCCGCGCTGCCTCCGCTCCGCTCCGCTCCCGCGGCCGCACTCACCGCTCCGGAATCCCGCGGCCGCCCCGCCCGCGCTCCGCAGCCGGCCCAGCACCCGCGGCGGCGCGCGCTCCACGTGCGGCGTGTCCCCCGGGAAAACCTGCAGCTCCCGCGACTCCCCGAGTGGGAGGCCCCTGGGCCCTTCCCGCGGAATCGGCGCGGAGAAACTCCAACCCCCCCTCCCGCCTCCCAGGCACCCCCGGGCTCAGGACTACAAGTCCCAGCAGGTGGCGCGACACGAACGCCCCCCGAGGCCACGGAGGCTCACGAGGCACAAAAGGAGCACAACGCCGCCCCAGGCCGCTTTGTTTTCACACTGTCACTGTGTCGGGACGTTCATACACTTCAACAACCCAAGGAAGAAACAGGACTGCAGGCCTGTGCGGGGCGGGAAGGACCGAACTCACGGAAAGGCCCGGCCCAGTGCGCATGCGTGCATGGGGAGGTTTTTTTTTTTTGTTTGTTTTGTTTTTTCCCTCCAGAAGGGAAAGAGGGAGCAGATTACATGAGGAGGAGGAGGAAAGATGGCGGAAGAGCCGCAAGGGGACCCGGAAGCACTTACCCTCTACTTCCTCCCGTTTGCCTTCTGCCTCACCTAGAGCCGTCCGGTGGCGGACTGTCTCTGAGACGCTTCCTGTCCGGTGAGCGCCGACACCGACTGAAACGGCGGCCCACAATGCACTGCGATAGCGTGTAGGCGGGCGGGGGCGGGGCCAAGGCCGGAAGTAGGACGGCGGCGGTGGTGGCGGCGGCGGCGGTGGTGGCGGCGGCGGCGGCTCGGGCAGTTCGGGACTGAGTACAAGGTGACTGGGAGGGTAGCTGGCCCAGCTGGGCCTCTGGGGACTGCGATTCAGAGTTTTTCTCTGGGGGCCGGGCTGCCTGGTACCTTTGCCCTTCCTGAGAGGGCAGCGTTTTTGGCCCGGGGGACCTTCCCGGCCGGCCCCGAGGTCACTGCAGACGCCGGAGCCTGCAGGCCTCGGAGTTTGCCGCGGAGGCTCCATGGATGCGGCCTGGATGATAATGTCCGCCCCGCGGGCAGGCCGCGGTGGTGCGGGATGCAGGGACGCGGGGTTTCCCGGCTGGGGCAGCCCAAGGTCATGCTCAGCCCGCGCTCCCGGGCGCTGGTTCTGAGCTATTGAAAGCCGATCATGGGGATAGTCTTCTTAAAAGTGAAAATATAAGTAGTGCTAAAACTGTTAGGCAGCCGTGTTTTTACACTCTTTTCCTGCACCATCCTGCGCCCCAACCACCCCGAGGAACGGGACGCTGGCGGGGCGGCGGGGCGGAGTGGGGAGGCTGGGGCTCGAAACTGCGGAGAGGCCAGAGGGCGCATGCGAACTCAACAGGATTCCAGGAGGGGAAAAGCGGGTCCAGTTAGGCGGGTTGTGCATTGACTTTGAGGAGATGCTACCTGGCCGGGTAGCTCGATGGCCAGAGCGTCTTCCCCCATACACCAGGGTTGAAGGTCAAGGCACATACAAGAGGCAGCCATTGCATGCGCAAAGACGTGGAACAACAATCCCCCTCTATCCCCCTCTAAAGTCAATAAGTAAAAATTATATATATGTATATGTGTGTGTATATATATATATATCTTTCAAGGATATGGTTTGAAGAGGCAGCGAGAGGACTGACCTTGGCTGGTCGGCCATCACTGTAAACAGAACCCTGCTCTTGCACATGCGGTGCCCTTTGCGGATGCCTTCCCCGGTCCTTTTGGGACTGTCACCTCCCTGTCATGGCCTCTCGTGGCCCCTCGTCGTGCTCCAGTAGGAAAACGTATCGCAGTTGTTGCTCTTTACACCTGTGTGTGTAATAGCACGTGCCTCCTGCGGGCCAGCGGACAGTCCACACTCACTGTGTATTTAAGCACAAATGAGGTTATGTGTTTTATCTTTTTAGACAAGATGAATTTGAGGGCCCTAAAGGACTTAGGAAGGGACATGAGCTGTCGAATGCATGGGATTCAGGGGAAAACAAAATTAGAGATGTGATTTCCGAATCATTAGTATTCAGAAATCGAAAAAAAAAAAATAGATTTTACTCCTTTTGCAGTAGGAATAATATGGTTTTTGCTGTCAGAGCAAATTAATTGTGGGAGTATGAGCAACTTTTTTAAACTTAAACTTCTTCTAACACCACATCTTCAAAATAGTATTTTGTGGAAGAGCCACACTCAAGGGGCCAAAGAGCCGCATATAGAGCGTCGGCTTGGGGACTGAAGGGACTCAGGTTCAATTCCGGTCAAGGGCATGTACCTTGGTTGCGAGCATATCCCCAGTAGGGGGTGTGCAAGAGGCAGCTGATTGATGACTCTCTCTCATCGATGTTTCTAGCTCTCTATCTCTCTCTCTTCCTCTCTGTACAAAATCAATAAAATATATTTAAAGCAAAGAGCCGCATATAGCTCGCGATCTGCAGTTTGCCAACCACACTATAGCTCAGTGACACAATCTGTATGCTACTACTGTTCTACAAACCATACTTTCAGGAGGAGGAGGAGTAGTATAACTTAATATGTGTTCTGTGTCAGTATGATGGTGATTATTGTAATTGCTATTATTAATTTGTGGAGGTAGAGGGATCATGTTAGCTTTAACATGTCAGGTTTTCAATTTATCTTTAAGGTTCAGAAATTGTACCAGGCTATATTGAGTTGTGACTGTTGTCATCATTCCAATATAGGGTTTGGTAAGCCCTTAACTAGACTCAGTCTTTTTTAATTTAAGGGAACTTTTTTCTACTTATGGTCTCCTTATCTATTCCTTTTTTTTTGAAATTCGTTTGCGTATATTTGTTGTAATTTGGTATTTTTTACATTTGGTGTTTCAAGACACTGAATGCGATCTCAACTGAGATCAGTTTATAAACTGAAATTTATAGAAAATTATGTCCTTTAGCTCTAAGGATTTAGAAATCCGTATTTTTATTATTATTATTTTTAATATTTTTTGTTGATTTTGTACAGAGAGGAAGGGAGAGAGATAGAGAGTTAGAAACATCGATGAGAGAGAGTCATCAATCAGCTGCCTCTTGCACACCGCCTACTGGGGATGTGCCGCAACCAAGGTACATGCCCTTGACCGGAATCGAACCCGGGTCCCTTCAGTCCCCAAGCCGATGCTCTATCCACTGAGCCAAACTGGTCTCGGCGGAAAATCTGTATTTTTAAAAATCAGAATTTCATGTCTCTGACTAGGTTGTACCACATGATTTTCTCTCTTGTTGGTGGGCTTCCTTGGCTGGTTGCTATTTCTCCTTGCTGGCTGTGTTGGACTTAGATTTGTAGTTGTAACAGGCAGACTCCCTCTGTGGGTCTTCCAAGTAGAAACTTCCATGCTATCAATCCTGACTGAGGCTACTGTCTCCAGTGCCCCTGCCCGGTTCCCTGTAGAGAATCCTAACACATTGTTTTAGAGGTCAGGATTGTTCTTTTCCTCTCGGGGTGGGTAGCTTTGCAACATCCTAGTTTTGCTGTTTTCCCTGATCCAAGACTAAGTTCATGGGGAGGATACACCCCATTCCATATTCTGTGCTTTCTTTCTGATGTAACCCTGGTGGGGCCACTCAGAGCCCTGAGTTCCTAACTGCTCCCAGGACCCAGGTGTTCGGGTTAAGAAGTGGGCAGTGGAGAGGTGAATGGGGCTAGATCAGGTGATTGTTCTTAGCATTCACTGAGTTCTGGTATGCTTTCAGTCCTGTAACAATTAAGAGAAGTAGAGGTATTCTATAATTATATAAAATATATATTAAAATACATTAACATTTATTAAAATATATTAACATTGTGGAGCCTTTTTTTCTTTCCGCAGTAATAGTCACCATGATTCTTCAGAGGCTCTTCAGGTTCTCCTCTGTCATTCGGTCTGCAATCTCAGTCCATTTGAGGAGGAATATTGGTGTTACAGCGGTGGCGTTTAATAAGGAACTCGATCCTTTACAGAAACTCTTCGTGGACAAGATTAGGGAATACAAAACTAAGCGACAGTAAGTGGGTGGATGATCAGCCATTGTGTAAATGTAAATATTTATTTAAAGTATGTAAGTTTTGAGGTGGTCATACACTTACTTGGTGTTTGAAAGTGTCTAAAACCTTTACTGAGCTGATCCCTTGCATAGAGGTTCATTAGATCTTGATTATTTTAAGTCCCAGATTTTATGGTTTTTTTATATGGTTTTCCAGGGAAAGTTCATTAAATCTTTTGTTATTTTGCTTATATCTTTGTATTTAAAGGATATGTCATCATTCTACCTTTTTAAGAAAGTGAAGACTTGACACATGATTTTGTTTATAGCTTGAAAGAGTTCTCAAGCCTATAGACATACCCAGGTCTACCTCATGTTACAAACAATTGGTGTGAAGGTGGAACAGGTAAATGGGGTGGGAAGAGAATATCTTTCAGGAGGAAAGAGTACTGTGAGCTAAGGCATGAAAACTGGAAAGCATATTTGGGTAATTATATAATGCTATTTCCTAAGACTGTGTAGTATATAAAGAATGTAGAGCACACTAGGATTAGAATGAGGAATTATGGAAGACCTTGATTATAGACTGGACAATTAAAATATATGAAAAGCATGTATGAGAAATTAAAGATTTTTTAGTAGGATGGTGAGGTGGAACAATATTGCTCTGTATTAGGAAGAAAATGTTGATCACAGTGTACTAGGAAATTTGGTATGAGAAAAGAGGAAAGATAGACATATTAGAAAAATGTAATATCAGCATTAATTGATGATAATCCTATCTTTATAGCAGTGGGAATATAAAAGTGACAACAATCAAAATACTGAGACTTGAGTTTGAGCCTCTAATAAGGTTTTCTCGTTACCTGAACTAAGGAGGGAAAGGGTGAAGGGATTAAAATTAAGATAATATGAAACTCCCACAACAACCTTATTCATGTCATCCCAGTTTTATATATTAGAAAACTAAGACTAAAAAGTTGAATTTGCCTAAAATCACACTATCAGTAAGCAGGTGTGCAGGACTGATTGGGAAATTGGAGCATCTGTGTGGAGGTATTGTGGCATCGCAATATTGATGCTGTTTGCACTTTCACTGTCCTTAAAAGCCTGTCCAATAAGAAAGTCAAGCCTTAGGCATACTCTGAACCTAAGGGGTCTGGCTTCTTCATTTGTGCAACAGTGTGGAGCAATGTTCTGAGCATGAATGCTGGGCAGGTTATTTACCCTCTGTACCTCCGATTCCTAATATATAAGATGGGGATGATAATAGCAGTACCTGTGTCATAAGATGTTATAAAAATTAAATGGTCTAATAAATTAGCATGCCTAATATATATGTGTGTGTTTTTAAATATATTTTATTGATCTTTACAGAGAGGAAGGGAAGAGAGATAGAGAGTTAGAAACATCAATGAGAAAGAATCATCGATCAGCTGCCTCTTGCACGCCCCCTGCTGGGGATGTGCTGGCAACCAAGGTACATGCCCTTGACCGGAATCGAACCTGGGACCCTTCAGTCTGCAGGCCGACACTCCATCTACTGAGCCAAACTGGTTAGGGCCTAATATATATATATATATTTTTTTTAAGTGAAATAAATCTCCCTTGAGGGTCTGTTTTGTCCCCAGTCACCATCTAGAGCAAGATGGGCAGGGAGACTTATAATAGTCAGTTGAGGAAGTAGATGATTTATGAAGAGGGAACTTTTTAAGCTTAAGCAGATGGCTGAAACTGGTTTGGCTCAGTGGATAGAGCGTTGGCCTGCGGACTGAAGGGTCCAGGTTCGATTCCGGTCAAGGGCATGTACCTTGGTTGCGGGCACATCCCCATTAGGGGGTGTGCAAGAGGCAGCTGATCGATGATTCTCTCTCATTGATGTTTCTAGCTCTCTATCCCTCTCCCTTCCTCTCTGTAGAAGATCAATAAAAATATATTTTAAAAAATAAAATAAAAAATAAAAATGAAGTTTTTTCTGATTAGCTCAGCAAAAATGCCCTCTCAACAAAAGTGCCTTTTTGTTAAACCATGTCTTTGAAGTGTAGCATATGACTCTCTTATGGCATAAATGTTTATAAATATGTTTGTTTGTTTCTTTCTTCTAAATGGCAAAACCTCTGAGGATAGGGAGTAATTTCGGTTTTGTAACCAGCACCTAAAATGATTTTTATTTGCTCATTTGCACACAGGTCATCTGGAGGGCCTGTTGATGCCGGCCCAGAGTATCAGCAAGACCTGGAGAGAGAGCTTTTTAAGCTTAAGCAAATGTATGGCAAAGTAGACATGAATACATTCCCAGACTTCAAATTTGAAGGTAAATCTCTAATCAGATTCAGCCTTTTGGGAGATCACTTTAAGAGGAAAATATGTATACCTATTTATGTTGACTTCTATAGAGGATAAATATCAATTACATGTAGATTTATTAGGGCAGTGATATGTGCATGGGATAAATATTTGCCATTGGTATCGGTCCAGCGGGGGAGGGGGGGGACACGACGGACCTTTTTTCTGCCACAGGCCACTTGGATACTTAGAACATCATTCGTGGGCCAAACAAAATTATTAACTTAAAAAATTGGCCTGCTATATTTGGTCAAACATTTAATTAACTCACCCCTAATGCCTTGGCAGGCCAGACCAAATGAAACATCCTGTAGACTGGGTGTTCCCCCTACAGGATGTTTAAAATAATGGGGATCTGAAATTAAACTCCCTGATCTTGAATTCTCTGACAATATCACTTATGAACTGTGTAGTCTTAGATAGTTAACTGATACCTGTTTCACATTTGGAAAGAATTATAATATCTTCCTCATGTGGTGGTTTTAGGTAAATGATATATGTAGAATCAATTAATAGCCTGGCTCATAATACTGCTGAATAATCTTCAGCAATTGTTATATTTCCATGTAGATGTTCAGAAACAATCTGTATTCACTAAAAAAAAAAAAAACAAAAACAAAACAAAAAAAAAAAAAAAACCCACAGTAGAAGCCTTCTCAATAAGGCATTTTATTGCATTAGGCTAAGCTTAAACCTTTTTTCCTTTTCTTAGATCCCAAATTTGAAGCCGTGGAAAAACCCCAGTCTTGAAGAAATGTAAAATATTTCTGGTCATGTGTCCTGGATGAGTTGTATACTTGATCAAAAGTATCAGAAGAAGCATACATTTCAACAACTGTCAAATGTTCTTTCATTCTGATTCCAAATAAATTATTTGGTGATTTTGAGTGTATTGAATTCTGTGTTTTAGCATTACTTTTAAAGCATCCCATCTGGTTCTAAGGAAGCATGTGGAGAACGTGGATAAATTGAGTATAGCTTGCCTATACTACCAGACTCTTCTCATGTGCTGGGTTTCCTTTTCATTCTGGAGTCCTGCAGCCCAAGAGGATCTCTCTCCTTCTTAACCCCATGACCTTGTGTTAGGAGAGAAAGCTAGAAGATTCTAGGACCAGCAGAATAGGGGAACTAAGACAGATAGTTAAATAGCAGTTTTCAATCACCTAGTAAATCCCAGGTTCCCTAAACCAAGGACACTTAAGAGTAAATGATTTGCACTGCTCTCAGAGGGCAAATAGCTTAAATCACCTTACTCAGATAGCAGAAATTCAATTTGTGCCATTTGTCAACCACAGCCAAGGACAGATTAAGAGAATAAATCTCATTTGGTTCATCAGCAAAGGTTGATGAGTACTCTATTGATCCTACCCTAAGACCTACTCTAAATGCTCAGCCTTTAAAGCCCCTGAAAATGAAAGTCCCAGCATGCTCTCCCTCCAGGGAGCACATACATGCCATTGCCTCCCCCCCCCCCCCCACCCCGCCCATCACCCTCCTCTCCCCCAGGCACATGCCTTCTAAACTCCAAGGAGACTTTGAACCAGGGGAGCAGTGGGCAGCGGCAGCTCATCCTGGGCTAACCCCCTGAACCTGTCCCAAAGGCCCCCTTTTCTCTGGCTTCCCAGTGAACCAAAGCAGCCCAGACTAGGCTCTGCTGTTGCTTCTTCTGTGCCCTTTCTTGTTCCAGTGTCCTAAGTGTGCTTTTGCTGCAGTCAACTTCTTGCTTGCTTTTCTACACTTTGTCTCTTGATTGAAATATTTTCTTCAAGAAGACAAGAATCAAAAGAAGACATCTCACCAGAAAGAAGGTCACCAGGACCAAGAACCCCTACCATGGGGAAAACTACAAGCCCTTCCCTTAAGTATTAACCCCTGGAGATGACATCTAGGCTTCAGCTGTGCTTCAGCCCCAGGCCCAAAAAAGGAGCACACCAGGCAGGGGTGCCATGGCTGGTGGCAGGGCCAGCCGCAATGAATAATGACTCCCTGCTCTGGCTCTGGCCCCTGACAGGACACACCTGGAAAGCTGATGAGTATTCCATTGAGGTCCTCTGGAGACCTCAGATAAAAGCCCTCAGGATGGAGGACCCAATGCTACTCTATGGAGCAAGCCAGAGCCGTTCCCAACCCCCTCTCCCCAGGTGCCTCTCTCCTAAGCTCCGAGGACCCTTCTTTTGCTGCAACTTGTTTCCATTTCTTCAACAGCTCACTTCTACCTCTGTGACTTTGTAAATAAACTCCCTTATAGTTTGTCTTGGGTCTGAATTCTTTCTTAGCCAGAACTTAAGAACTTAAGGTTGCTGAACCGTGGTTTTAACACCTGGTACCGTTTTGCCAACAATAAAATGTCCTTAGTTCCATTTGATGCGTGCTTAAGGCAGCCAAAGAGGAGTAGTGGCACAGATGGATAGGGACAATATGCCAAGATGTGTATGTGTGGGGGTGGGCCTTGAATTTCAAGCAGAGAAGTTCAGATTTTAGTACTCACACTACGTATAGAACAAGAGTGAAAGGTTTTTAGCAAGGGGAGGGAGAAGGGAATTTGACGTTAGTAGAGGAATTGGGAAGTAACTGACAGGGTTGGGGAAGGGAGAGGCTAGAGGACAAAGGAGAGATTAGCAGAGATTGAAATTGTGATTATGAAAGAGGGTGTTTGAAAGGAAGAAGTTCCTAGAAGACAAAAGATGAGATATTAACAACAGCCTGAGATAAAAGGATTAAAGTAGTGACAATTATCAAATGAGTCGATGAATGATGGACTGAACAAATGAGGTTAAAAACTAGAGATTGAGAAAAAGGGTAGTAGTGATGGTGAGAGAATTGAAATGTATTCATCATGGTTGGCTTCAACGGTTTAGGAAAGATGGGAATTGGACATCTGTGGAGAGGGGAAAGTGGACAAGAATGCAATGGTCCACCAAGGCATTTAGACTGGGTAGCAAAGAAAGGAGAGACAGAAAAATGTTTTAGGCTGTGAGACTAGGGAAGGGTCAGAGGCCAGAGATTCCTGAGGATGGAGGGAAGTAAGGTATAAGAGAAGAATTTGAAAATTGAATAGACAGAATGTTCAGGGCAGAGAAAAGACAGCATGTAGCCCCGGATTCCTTACTTTGGCTATGAACTTGGCAGTCACTGACCCTCTGTAAAACACATCATCGCCCATTTTAAAATATTGAGATTTTATAGTGTTATGCCCAAGTGTCATAAACCCCAAAGACTACCAGGGAGCCGAATCCGATGCAATTGCAGACAGTCTGTATTTATTTCGGACTAGTCCGAGCCCAGTCTCACCTACACCAACGAGGGCATGGGTGAGAAAGAGGAAGAACTTAACATATCAATGGGTTTTATAGGGAGGGTGGTGCTGCTACCTTGGCTGACCTGATTGGTTGGGTTAGGCCTAGGGTCCAGTTACCTGGAGCTGGACCCGCCCCCACCTGCCCTCTCACCCCACCTGCCCTCTCGCCCCGCCTGCCCCCTCACCCCGCCCTGCCCTCTCAATAGACCCTCTCTTCCATCCTCCCCCACCTCTGACATATATGAAATGTTCAATAAATAGTTGTGGCTTTTTATTTTCAGAGCTTTTATTTTTTTCTTTTCAGTGTCTGAGAGGTTGGCAGGCATCCATATTGAGATGATGAGATTCTAATCTCAGGCAGCTCAAGAGCTGGCCTTTTACTGCAGATGGTAAGAGGGTGTAGCTTCCTGGGCTTCGCTGAACAATAGGTGGATGACTTACCCGGCACAGTTAAATGGGCTAAAAAGTTGATCAAGTTCAGCTATTTTTATAATGTAGACTATTGTCCAATAAAACCACCTGTGAAATGAAGGAAGTTTTTTGCAAACAAGTTTTCCAGATACAGTTAGATTAAGCCGCCAACTAAAAATAAACCTTGTTAAAAGAGCAACAATAATAATGAAAACAAAACAAAACTTGCTGTTAAAGATTTTAGAGCCCTATTAATTATATAGCACAATTTTACTGCAGAACCCGCTGTTTTTGTTAAATAAAGTTTTCTTGGAATACAAACAGGGCCATTTGTTTATTGTTGTCTAAGACTTCTTTAGTGGGACAAGGATTCAAGTCCAATAGTTATAACATGAACCAAATGGCCTATGGTGTATAGCCCTTAAAATACCTATCTGGCACTTCTTCAGAAAATGTTTGAAGGGGATTGATGAGAAGCATGGAATGCCATAAACAGAGCGGGGAAAGGGGAGTAGTCTGACTACAGGTGTCTTCCCAGTGACCTGGTATCCAGGCATGTGCTAGACACTCAGTGAGTGGTTAAGTCATTTGTCCAGTGAATCCTGAGGATTTGCTTTGCTTATTGGGCAAAAAGAATGTATGCCTTTATTTTTATTTTCTATTATTTTTAGAGAGAGGGATACATTGATGTGAAAGCAAAACATTGATCAGTTGCCTCTCAAAGGCTGCAACCCAGGTATGTGTCCCAACTGGGGAAATGAACTGGCAACCTCCCCGTGTAAAGGATAACACTCAACCAACTGACCCAGCCAGGGGAAGAATAGGCTCATGTAAAAGCAGCTTAACCGTGTTCAAAGTTGTCAAAAGTAGTGAGGGACCTTTTCATCCAGATTTGCCTAGAACTGGAAATATCCTGGCCGTTTTTTGTTTTCAATATGAATGATCCAAGACAAATTATAATTATGCTTTTAACATAGTTGAACTGCTCTTATTTTGAAACTAGTGGCCTAGTGCATGAATTCGTGCACCAGTGGGGTCCCTTGGCTTGGCCTGTGGGATCATGCTGAAACTGGCTTTCTGACATCCCCCAACAGGTCTTGGATTGCGAGAGGATGCAGGCCAGGTTAGGGACTCCACTCATGCACAATCAGGACCAGGGAGGGATGCAGGAGGTTGGCCAGCTGGGGAGGAACCAAGGGAGGGCTCTAGGACATGTCTGGCCCGGCTTGCTCAGTCCTGATCATCTGGACCCCCTCAGCAAGCTAACCTACTGGTTGGAGTGTCTGCCCCCTGGTGGTCAGTGCACTTCATAGTGACTGGTTGACTGTCTGCCCCCTGGTGGTAAGTGAACATCACAGCAAGCAGTTGAGCAGCCTTAGCATATCATTAGCGTATTATACTTTGACCAGACTTTCAGCATATTAGGCTTTTATTATATAGGATTACAATTTGATTGATTGAACGGATGACCAGATACTTAGCACAGCAGGCTTTTATTATATTGTTGACATTTTCACTTTGTGACACTAGCTGGAAGTCTTTGTGATTAATCAGTTGAGGAACCAGATGTTTAGACCCATTTTCATTTCAGCCACCATTTCTCCTGTGCCCTGGATGTAGCAAGGGGATGGGTACCAAGCTCAGGGAGTCATAGTGAACTCCTTCACCTCATTTTACTTGTCACATACTACTTTTCCCCTCCGTAGCCACAGATTTGTGATGAACAGGATTGGCAATCCACAGGCCATAAGACCCAAGGGCTTGGCCTAGCCCAAATTTCCCTGCCTGATTTTTTAGACAGACATGAAGTCGCCATCCCACAGGGAAAGGCATCCACAGGGTTCTGTTTGCAGGCTCCAGGTCACTGGTCCTCTTCAAAGGAGTCTTAGGGGAAGGAAGTAGCAACAAGCAGGTCTGGGTGAAATAACACAATTGGGTCTGTGTTTGGCTCTCTTACTCCGCTCTGGTCAGGAAGCATTTTTCTTCATGTTGCTTTCAGTTCTTAGAAATGAAAGTGAATACAGAGTACAAACCTTTGGGTATAAGACCCACTCCCACACCCTCTCTCCTGTGGATAAATGAGCAGTACAATAAGGATTACATGAGGGGAGAAAAGAGGATTTTGGTGGAAATGAGACCAGAGTTCCCTTTGCATCTGTCAGAGTATTTCTGAACCCTCTAAATCTGTACAGGGAGTGCATGTAGTTTATACGTGCATGCTCTGAGGATTAATTTCACCATAAAAATATGATATATTTTAGTAACTTTATCGAGAAGTTAGGACATTTAAGATTTTACAAACCCCAGAATAGTGCAATGTATTTTTGATTCCATTAACTCAGTCCACACACAAGCAGCCAGATTTAATATTTTAGGTGCACCCAAACTATTTGATTTTTCTTCTTTTTAATTTTTTAATTACAGTTGACATACAACATTATATTAGTTTCATGTGTGCAGTCTAATGATTAGACATTTATATAACTTATGAAGTGATCACCCTGATAAATCTAATACCCACCTGGCATTATACATAGTTATTACAATACTAGGAGCCTAGTGCACAAAATTGCATGAGACCTCAGACTTGCTGCACCACAAGACCCATCAATGCACCTCCTGGTGACTGGTTGTTTAATCGTTATGGTGTTATGGCCACTGACCTTTTATAATTTAGCTTTTTCTTATCTGGGAAACTCTTTATATGGCCTTTGATTCTGAATAATAATTTTGTTGGGTAATCTTGGTTGTAGGTCCTTGCTTTTCATCACGTTGAGTATTTCATGCCAATCCCTTCTGGCCTACAAAGTTCCTATTGAGAAATCAGCTGAGTCTTATAGGAGCTCCCTTGTAGGTGACTAACTGCTTTTCTCTTGCTGCTTTTAAGATTCTTTCTCTGTATTTAATATTTGTCTTTTAGTTACAATGTGTCATGGTGTGGGCTTCTTTGGGTTCATTTTGTTTGGGGCTGGGTGCTTCCCAGGTTTGTATATTTATTCCCTTCACTAAGCTTAGGGAACTTCCATTATTTCTTCAAATAGGTTTCCAATTCCTTCCTTTCTCTTCTCCTTCCAGTACCCTTATAACGTGACTGTTGGTATAGTTCATGTTGTCCAGAGGCCCCTTACACTATCTTCATTTTTTTAAAAATTCTTTTTCTTTTTGCTGTTTCGATTGGACATTTTCTTTTTTTAAAATATAGTTTTATTGATTTCAGAGAGAAAGGGAGAGAGATAGATAGAAACATCAATTATTAGAGAGAATAATTGATTATTTGCCTCCTGTAGGCTCCCTACTGGGGATTGAGCCTCACCCAGGCCCTGGGGATCAAACCTGGGACTCTTCACTCCACAAGTCAAGGCTCTGTCCACTGACCCAAACCAGTTAGGGCTCGATTGGACATTTTCTGCTACCTTATCTTTTATAAATCTTTTTTTAAAATATATATTTTATTGATTTTTACAGAGAGGAAGTGAGAGAGACAGAGAGCTAGAAACGTCGATGAGACCAGTTGCCTCTTGCACACCCGCTACTGGGGATGTGCCCACAACCAACATACATGCCCCTCACCAGAATCGAACCCGGGACCTTTCAGTCCGCAGATGGACGCTCTACCACTGAGCCAAACCGGTTTCAGCTACCTTATCTTTTAAATCACTGATTCAATCCTCTGTTTTATCTAACTTATTGTTGATTCCCTCTAACATATTCATTTTGGTTATGGTAGTCTTCATTTCTGACTTGTTCTCTATGTTTTCTATCTCAATTTTTATGTTTCTTATCCCTCTGTTAAAGTTCTCACTGAGATCATTGAGCATTCTTATAAGCAGTGTTTTGAACTCTGCATCTGGTAGATTGCTTGTCTCCATATTTCTTTTTCTGGAGTTTTGTTCTCTCCTTTTATTTGGGACATGATTCTTTGTCTCTTCATTTTGGCTACCTCCCTGCGTTTATTTCTATGTATTAGGTAGAACTGCTAGTCTCCCGTCTTAATAGAGTGGCCTTATGTAATAGGTTTTCTACGTTTCCTGTGGGGCCCAGTGGTGGTTTCCCTAATCACATGAGCCAGATGCTTCATGTATATCCCTGGTGTGGGATGTACGTGCCATCCTGTCATAGTTGAGAGATTGCTGTTGGCATGGCAATGGGAAGATTGACCCTCAGATTGACTGGCTGTGAGAACTGGCTGCAGGGGAGAAGCTGTTGTGTAGGGACTGACTCTGCAGAGCAGGATTTGCTTTGGTGGAGCTCTAGTACCTGCCAAGTCTGCTTTCTGAACGTACTGATTGTGGAGGTGGTTGAGTGGTACTAGTCTGGTCGGAGCTGGCCACCAGGTATATTGGTTTTGGGGAAGTATAGGCCCAGGTCAGAAACTGCCTGTGCCCTGCTCAGAGTCACGTGGTGTGAACCACAAAGTGATCTCTAGAGGACTGCCACTTGTGCTGGGTTTGCAGATGCCGGGAGAGAACTGAGACTGGGGCTGCTTACGAAAGGTACAGGGCACACCAAGGCCAGATGCTGCTTGTTTGGGGTTTGTGAACCTTTGAGCGATTTTAGGAAAGTTCGCAGTATGAACCACGACAGGCTATTTGTATGGAAAAGCCACTGGAATTGGCTTGAGTGGACCCAAAAGTTAGGTGGCCTTGGTGGACAGTATTAGCCAGGTTGATGGAGGCTCAGGTATGGCACCTGTCTGCTGGCTCTGTGAAAGGGGTACTACGCAAAGGAGCAATGGCCTCTGCCAGCACTTCCTGCCCTGATGCCAGACTCCACAGTTTCTTCCTGTATGTTCTTTTGTGCTGCTGTCTGTGTTGGAGCTCAGAACGAGTGAGTCCCAATGAGTGTGTGTGTGTGTGTGTGTGTGTGTGTGTGTGTGTGTGTGCGGGGGGAGGGGGGGAGGCTTTTAAGAATGTCTGGGGTTCCCTCTGTCCCACTCAGCCACAATTCCAACTGGCTTTCACAGCCAGGAGTTATGGGGACTTCTCTTCCCACCATGGGAACCTGGGCTGGGGGGAAGAGGGGAGGCGCATGGTATGGGGTTGGGACTCGTTGCTCCTCAGCAGGGATCTATGCAGCTGAGATATTCTGTTTCCTGTGGGGCCTAGTGACCCGAGCCAGGTGCTCCAGGTATGTCTCTTGTGTGGGATGTATGTGCCCAATTTTTAATGGCCACATGTGGGTATGGGACCAGCCCATCATGCGTCTCTGACCCTCCTACCAGCCTAGAAATGGCTTATGTATATCCTTAATTATACATAATCTGTCCAGCTAGATGTCAGATGGTTTTCAATGTTGGTTGTTCTGTACTTTAGTTGTAATTTTGATATCACCGTGGGGTGGGAGAAGGTGAGTATAGTTTTCTTCTTGACCAGAATCCCAGATTGTTTAAAATGACAATTTCAAGTGATTTAGTGTTCATAAAAATTTTAATAAAATACCAATTTCATCTCCTTATGTACCTCTTTGCAAATGTAAGACAAAGCAGAGTGTTATAATCTTTTAATAATTTGTGAACAAATTATTGGTGTATTTCAGAGGTGGAATTCTTTTAAATTATAAAGGATTTTGAGTGCTTGAAATCCTACGAAAAGAAAGAGAAACCAAGTTTAAATATACAGTATTAATTTCTATTTAAAGAAATATACAAATCTTATGAGTATCTGAATCTTACAGGTTCAAACCAGCACATATTGAATTAAACCTACTTTATGGGGAATTAAATAATTAAATACTAGGAGATGCTGTCTTTGAAACTGTTCCTAAGGCAATATGAGTAGGAATTAGAGCAGGGTAACTCTTATTTCTGAAGGGTGTGCTATAGCATCAGGTGGGTAAAGATCAGGTGTGCTGCTAAGCATTACCCAATGCACAGGGCAACTCCCTCCTCCCCCCCAAAAAACACAAAAAAACAAAAAACAGAATTATGTGAAATTATAAGAATTCATTATATATGAATTATAACACCCGGCCCGTGTGGCTCAGGGGTTGAGCGTCAACCTATGAACCAGGAGGTCAAAGTTCATTTCTCCATAAGGGCACATGTCTGGGTTGCAGGCTCGATCCCCAGTGTGGGATATTCAGAAGGCAGCCAATCAATGATTCTCTCGCATCACTGATGTTTCTATTTCTCCCTCTCCCTTCCTCTCTGAAATCAATAAAAATAAATAAATAATTAAAAAAAAAAAACTTTGATGGGAAAAACTCTATAGAGCAATGTATGGGTGTTCAACATTAGTCTCCAGCAGGATCACCCAAGTGTTTAAAATACTGATGCCCATGCCCCAGCCCAAGCTCCAGTAAGAGGAAATTGAAGAGAATCCCTGCCATAGAGTGCTAAGGAGTGCAGAGAACCAGTGCGCTATTTCTCAAGAAAGGGATAAGGCTCCTAAAACCATTGGAAACCTTCTACCCCCCATACCCACACACACACTGTGTTCTTGAAAAATAACATAGAGTTGAATATATGTATCCAGAGAGTTACAAAATCTGGGCAATGGATTTACTGCTTTATGTGGTGTTTATGAATGCAAAAGTGCACCAGGGTCCAAATGTCGAAATCGTGTTCCCTTAGCCATCTCCCTTAGGCGATAATTGCATCTTTTCAGGGATTTCCAAGATTTCAGCAATAGCAGAGGAGGTTCTACATTCTTAAAATTTCTCAGTGCTTTTATTAACCAAAAGAGTGTCCTGGGACCACAGATGTTAGAAAAGAAGTGAGCTGCTGGGCCAAGCTGACAAAATCGAGGTGCCTGGTTCCCAGCTCTGCAACTATTATCCTCTGAGAACTTGTGTCTTCATTTCCTCATCTATAAAATGAAGTAGATAATAGCAGCCCCAAGGCCGACTAATAATAGAAAACACCACAAGAAAAAACAATGGTGTGGTAAAGCCTCCTTGCTCTACAAATGCCCGGCAACTGGACCATGCCACCGCAGACAGGGATGGACGCTCCCATTTACTCAGCTCCTTCGAAAGGCCAGTGGTAGATACTAGTACAAAATATATTAAAAGTGAAAATGCACCCAACGTGGCCCAGAGGTCGAGCCTCAACCTATGAACCAAGAGGTCATGGTTCAATTCCCAGTCAGGGCACCTGCCTGGGTTGCGAGCTTGATCCCCAATGTGGGGTTGGGGTGGAGGGTTTGCAGGAGGCAGATGATCAATGATTCTCTCTCATCACTGATGTTTCTATATCTGTGTCCCTCTCCATTCCTTTATGAAATCAATAAAAATATATGAAAGAAAGGAAGGAAGGAAGGAAGGAAGGAAGGAAGGAAGGAAGGAAGGAAGGAAGGAAGGAAAGAAGGAAGGAAGAAAGGAAGAAAAGTAGGAAGGAAAGAAGGAAGAAAGGTAAGAACCTATCACTTCCATACAATTACTTCCTTCCCTTGCCTTATTCCCTAAACACATCCATTCTATAAATATGCTTTAACAATACTCACATTTTGACCCACTGGAGTGGCTTTGGATGCAGAGTTACTCTTCCTGTTTGTGGAATATAAAAGACATTTAGTGCATGATCACTTCCAAGTCTGAAACACATACCCTCATTCGGTCAATGTTACCTCCATACATTTTCTCAACAGGAAGGCAAACATTTGTAGCCAGGTACAAGAAAAAGCCAGAAATCCCAACTAAAGTCCTTTATTTATAGGCAGCATCCACAGAGAAAGCCATGCAATACAATATTAATGTGTGTGTGTGTGTGTGTGTGTGTGTGTGTGTGTGTGTGTGTGTGTGTGTTGAGAGAGAGAGAGAGAGAGAGAGAGAGAGAGAGAGAAGCCCTGTGTATCAGGTTGAGCCTAGGGCTAGTATACCAAGGATTTTTGTGGAAAATGCAAAACAGAGACTTGCAAACATTTAACATTTTGAAAGCTTGAGATTACAATCTCAAATTTCATTTTTCCCATGGGAAGGAAGTTTTATGCAGTGACTATGGTTATGGGGTGACTTGTGTGTGTGTCATCATCCCCCAACTTCCCCCTCCCCCCTCCCCCCATTTCATTTGCGGCTGTGTCACCACAAGTCCCTAGGACAGTGTTTGGCACAGAATCCGTATTTAATTAAATGTAAACATGATGGTTTAATAAAATTTTACTTGGAAAATTTCTATTTAGCAAATTACTGCAAATCTATTTTGTTTATAGTAGTACTATGGAAATGCCTATGTAGTCAAATTAACAAATGTATTTCGTCTCTAGGTAGTCAAACATTATTGACAAGTAGGCATGTGGTGGGATATATTTCTTGGTGAACTTGAGTCACAGTCACTTCCCATAGAACTAACAGCCTTCACCAATTAACTCCCCACATTTGGCTTTGAGCAGATGATTAACAGAAAATTAGTTGGTATGAAAGGAAAGCATGCATTTTAAGAAAGTATACTTACTGGAAGGTTTCCTCTACAAAAGAATAAGTATATATCGTTAGTACAAGAGTTAGAATGGCACGGTACAGATCCATATAAACATTAAGTTTAAGCTTCATTTCTTTTTCTGTCTTGATTCTCACTTGCTGACATTGGTACCTTCTAAATCAAGAGTTGGCAGACTTTTTCTGTAAAGGGCCACATGCAAATAATTTTGACTTTGTGGGCCAAGAGGTGAAATTGAGGATATCACATAGGTCATTATAGAGCAAGAAAAAAACAAACTCCCATAAGCTTTTATTGGTTAAAATTTTAAATATAATAATAAATTCTTGTGTTAACAGAATAACAGAATAATAGCTTTGGGGGAGCTAACATTCATCTTAATCAAGGTTCAAGGTTAGTGTTCCCTATTTTCAAATAGATTGCGAGTGTTCATCTGTAAAAACCATTCTTAGCTCACGGTCCAAAAAAAAAACCCAAAACATGTGGTAGGCCAAAACTGGTTTGGCTCAGTGGATAGAGCGTCAGCCTGCAGATTGAAAGGTCCCAGGTTTGATTCCGGTCAAGGGCATGTACCTTGGTTGTGGGCACATCCCCAGTGGGGGGTGTGCAGGAGGCAGCTGATCAATGTTTCTCTCTTATCAATGTTTCTAACTCTCTATCCCTCTCCCTTCCTCTCTTTAAAAAATTCAATAAAATGTATTAAAAAAAAGCAAAACAAAAAAAATCACAACAAGTTGGTCCACACTGTGTAGTTTGCCCAAGCCTGTCTGAAATGCAAGTTCAAGAAAATGGTTCTCTGAGATTTTCTGCCAGATGAAAATGGAGTAACACTCTTAGCTAATGAACTGCCAACACCCAAATCAATTCTTTAATTCATTACTTTAAGGAAAAAATGTTTACCAAATTTTCAAAAGATACTTAAATATTCTTTGCAAGTAGAAATAAAGATGACAAGAATTTTGAGCAATCTTTTATCTGTTCTTTCACTAGTGGCCAGCAGGGGGACTCAGCAGATTCCATTCATAAAGTTATACAGGACTAGTTTGTAGTACCATGCAAAAGAACAAGTATTATTCATTCACAGAACAGTTCTTAACTATAAAGAATTTCCTTGAAACCATGTTCATGGAAACATTTTATTACAATATCTACTTAAAGGTATTATTATCTAAACTCCTTTTAAATTTAAGTTTTATTTTTGTATAGAATACTTTTTACACCTAAACTCCAAAATTAATGTTCACTATGAGACAGTGGGTCTAAACTAGTTTGTGCTGCAAATTTATGTATTATTCCATTAAAAATTCTACTTTGTACACTATTCCCAATGGACTTTGTTGGGGGAGGAGGGTTTCTACAGCTTTTGAGCTCTCAGGTAATTTTAAAGATTAAGGAAAAAGGAAATGCATTAAGAGAATAAAACAGATTAGTTTTAAATCTCACACATTTACATCAGACCTATTACCAAATTTGGGTTTAGCATCACCAGAGGTCTAAACATGAAGAACGAAAAAACCTTGTTCAGAAGCAACTGTAGTGTAATAGGTTTCTAGTTTTTTTTGTGTGTGTGTGTGTGTTTATTTTTATTTATTTTATTATTATTGTTGTTGTTGTTTTAATTTCTTCATTGGTTATGGTATCACATAATTGTCCTCATCCCCATAAGGTTTCTAGATTTTGCTGAATAATTCTTTTCTAAATACAGTTGTGCTAACTTTGACATTCCACATTCCACTGTTATCCATTGATAAAAACAGTTGACAGATGTCAATGAAATAGCTCATCATAAAAACTAGAAATCAATTTACCACTTGAGATACACAGATCCTAACTGAAAAGGATCTTCCGTGCATGTGCATGTGTGGTAAACACCATCCACGTTGACTATCTCTTGGTATCGCTGCACCAGGCCACGCCAGGGAGCTTCCGGCGTATCCAGTGGTGCCTCCTGGGACGCTGGGCTGAGGCAGCTCTGCCTTTGCTCCCTATATTTGCCAAGGTGCTTCATGACCCACCTGCAGGTCATCTTCAATATCCTCTACTACAGAAAAAGCAAGGAAAAATAGTCTCCAGAAAGATGTTCTCACTTCTTATGAGAAACAGTGTCGCATAAGAACACTCTCTATCCACAGGAATTTGTCTAGCAAAGGATGAGATCACTTACTTGAAAAGTAGCCTTTCCTCTGAGCATAGCACACACCAAGGCCACAAATGGAAATCACTAAGGCCACTACCACCACGGCCGCGATGATGCCACTCACGTTGAGATCATCTGGAACGCAAAATGAACCAGGAATGAACTCATGTCCAGCAGAAGGGCAGGTGCAGTCCTTCTGTTTGCAGCTGTACCATAGATATGGGTAGTTTCATGCTTTTGAAGTCCGGACAAATAACTCATTTTCAGGACATGGTTCAAAAGATAATTTGCTGCCGGGACCGGTTTGGCTCAATGGATAGAGCGTCGGCTTGGGGACTGAAAGGTCCCGGGTTCGATTCCGGTCAAGGGCATGTACCTTGGTTGCGGGCATATCCCCATTGGGGGGTGTGCAAGAGGCAGCTGATCGATGATTCTCTCTCATCGATGTTTCTAGCTCTCTATCTCTCTCCCTTCCTCTTTGTATAAAATCAATAAAATATATTTTAAAAAAAAGATAATTTGCTGATTACCTATACTTTCTATATTTCAAAAAAAACTTCTTTAGAACAGTTCACAGGTTCTACTTTTGGTTATGTTATTAATGATAATTTAAAAAAGAAAACTAAACATGAGATTTCAGGAATTCTTGTGTATTTCGAATTATATAAATTCCAAACCAAAGGCGTGAAATGCCTAGAAACAACGGGTGAGCATTAAGTAAACTAATTTTAACTTTTAAATTAACTTATGCCACAAAGAGTAGATATGTGGAAATCATATCTAACTTAAAGCAGTACTACTAACAAAAGACAAACTATTAAAATACCATCTGTTATGTATTTTACCTATTATGTATCTGCTAGAAAAAATGTAACTAGAATGTAAAAACCATAATATCACAGATTTACTTCTTAAGAGGTGGGTAAATTAAGCATTAAAATTAAACATGACCATTTAAAGAAAAAAATAAATAGTAATAATGTAGGTGGTACAGGTTACAATAAAAACCATGAGGATAGTATATGAATGAATTAAGTTAGGAAAACACTACATCGTGTTAATTTTTATAACAGACTAGGGGCTCAGTGCACGAAATTCATGCACTCGGGGGCAGGGGGTCCCTTAGCCTGGCCTGCACCCTCTCAAAGTCCAGAAGCCCTCAGGGGATGTCCAACTGACAGCTTAGGCCTGATCCCCATGAGCCTAAGATTATATTTTCCTTAAAAAATAGTGATGCATTTAACTGTACTCAGACAATATACATTACTGCACACTCCTAAGCACATTGGAAAAATAAATTTCTGACCCCAAAATGCTGAGGATACGCTCCTGAACTAAGAGAAACCTCTGTCTTCTGCTTCAGGTTGTAGCCCTCCTGAATGACCTTTAACCCCTTGGGGTACCATCTCAGCGCTCTATTCCCCTCCATTTTCAAAACACACATTTTTCACACAGGAAGAATTAAACCAAATTATTAAAAATAAAATGAAAAAATAATATGCTTGTTCTGAAACTCTTATAATCTGAAAAGATTCTTGAGCCCTAATTTTATTGGATTTTAAGGAGCTCATTTTATGTAACATAATATACAGCAGCTACTTTTTATAGCAACCTAGATCCATAATTATCTTTTTTGAGAACCTACTTTGCAGTCAGTCTAACAGTATTTCCCAAGATCAACAAAATTAACAATAATAACCTGATAACAAGTCAACAGACAACACTTATATGGTGTTCACAATATGCCAGTGCTACTCTTACCACTTTCAAATATAATTTCCATCTTCATATTAACCCTGTGAGGATAGCATATTATTACTTCCATTTAGGGGAGACTGAGGCACAGAGATCAAATAATTCACCTCAGAGTATATAGCTAGTACATGGCAGAGCCAGAATTGGATGCAAAGACAAAGATGCTATTTTTAATCTATCTCCCAAACAAGCCAAGAGTACTTAGCATTTTATGTGGATTAAAAACAGCATCTTTGCTCCTTACATCAAGCTAGTTTTTAAAAAAAAATATATTTTATTGGTTGTTGCTTTTTTTATATAGAGAGGAAGGGAGAGGGATAGAGAGTTAGAAACATCGATCAGCTGCCTCCTACACACTTCCTACTGGGTATGTGGCTGCAACCAAGATACATGCCCTTGACTGGAATTGAACCTGAGACCCTTGAGTTTGCAGGCCTACGCTCTGTCCACTGAGCCTGTTAGGGCATATCATGCTAGTTTTAAACATTCCCTCCCGATTATCCTCCCAACCACTCAGCACTTTTCCACCCCTTGCTCCTTCTACCCCCAGACCTTACACCTCCTAGCTGCAAACCATCTGTTCCCCCCAGTAGTTCATGCTTACCTACTTGCATTTTTTTCCCACGGCACCTGCGAGATCCAACGGAATTACGGGCTTCGCAATAATACTCTCCACTGTCCAGTTTTGAAACGGTGTTAAATTGCTGGAATTTTGTGGAAGGAAGAAAAATAAATGTGTTTTTTTAAGCAATAAACCTGCGAGTAGGCTCCAGGTCCCTTGAACTTTCGCGGTAAGTTGGTTTTTCTTTTTCAGTGACTTTAAGACTGTATTTTTACTATGAACTCAAAAATCTTCCACAGCTTCAAGGCAAAGATAGGTAGGCCTCCTGTTTAATTCAACAGAGAAATGTTTATGGAGAAGTATCTTTTTGTGTGTGCTACTGGGAAAGTAGGACAGTTATGAAAGCAATGGGCATGTTTTAAAGTTCATAGTACATTGTATTCTAGAAGTATTCTAGGTACTTCTTTTTTTAAAAAAAATATTTTATTGATTTTTTTACAGAGAAACATCGATCAGCTGCTTCCTGCACTCCTCCCACTGGGGATGTGCCCGCAACCAAGGTACATACCCTTGACCGGAATCGAACCTGAGACCCTTGAGTCCGCAGGCCGATGCTCTATCCACTGAGCCAAACTGGTTTTGGCTCTAGGTACTTCTAATTCTTCTAGTTAAATGTTATTTGCAAGGGAAGGCCTTCTTGGCCTGAAAGGGCTGGTACGCTCTTTGAAGCCACATTGAATTCAATGCAGGGGCACATGCTAACCCTTCTAAAGGGCCAGCGCTACCATCGGGAGGCAATATGGAGCCATAATCGATGTGGTGCATAGGATGACAGATTCTATCGGGTGTAGAATATTTGAAAATTCTAAAAACATGAAGTCCAACCCTTGCTCCTTCCACTCCCTGCTAAAGTAACTGAGAGGTAAGACTTTGATTTAGGTTTCATACTTGCTATTAGTAGTTTTATCCCCTTGGGAAATTTTACCTAGGGAAGGAGGAAGGAAGGGGGGAGATAGGAAGATTTCAAGTAAGGGCCGACAGATAAGAAGGAAAACGGAGGGAAGGCAGGAGGCTGGAAGGAGAGTGGGAGGAAGGAAGGAAGGAGGAAGGAAGGAAGGAAGGAAGGAAGGAAGGAAGGAAGGAAGGAAGGAAGGAAGGAAGGAAGGAAGGGAGGGAGAGAGGGAGGGAGGGAGGGAACAAGCATAAAGGGAGGGAGGGAGAGAGGAAAGAGAAAGGAAGGAAGGAAGGAAGGAAGGAAAGAAGGAAGGAAGGAAGGAAGGAAGGAAGGGGAGGAAGAAGGGGAGGAAGAAGGGGAGGAAGGAAAGAAAGGAAAGGGAGTGAATGCAGAGTTGCCTGGACTCAGTACAGAGGGGAAGAGGGTGTTCAGAATCATTCCTTCACACCTCCTGTCACCTCAGTACGGCAGGAGCCACTCTTAGCCATGAGAGCCAAGAACCTCTAAGGAGCATCCCCTCATGGTCTTTGCTCTTCATGCCACGTATGTCCCTAAAACTAGCCAAGATCTTATTAACTCCCTTTCCTCTCACTTTTCTTTACTCACTCCCCACCCACTTTCTCTCTCTGTAGACTTCAGCGAAGTGGGGTTAAAGCTTTTCCTCGTTTATTTTAACTCTAAGGAAACATCTCTCACTCCCCCTAAAAGTCAGAGTACTTCAACAATATTCACCATGAGCTCCAGGCCCAGCGTGTGTACCAACCATCCGTTAGACTAAAACAATGATCTTCCAACACATTATAACTCATTAAAAAGAAGTCACGCCAAAACCGATTTGGCTCAGTGGATAGAGCATCGGCCTGCAGACTGAAAGGTCCCAGGTTCAATTCCGGTCAAGGGCATGTACCTTGGTTGCGGGCACATCCCCAGTAAAGGGTGTGCAAGAGGCAGCTGATCAATGATTCTCTCATCAATGTTTCTAACTCTCTATTCCTCTCTTTTCCACTCTGTGAAAAATCAATTTTATATATATATATATATATATATATATATATATATATATATATATATATATATATATAAAGGAAGTCACCATCACCCGTACAATGGTGTTTTGGTTGCTGCCCATTTCTCAAAAACCAAGCTGGTTCTGCCCTTGACATCACAAGATATTTCAAGGATAACGGAGAAAAGCAAATGTTATCCTTTCAGACTTGCCTTGGGGCTTTTAGCACCTGCTAAAATAAATTGGAAAAGCAAATATAGCGAAGTGTGATGATGGCAAGTGCTCGGCCCAGATTCCCTGGGCCTGCTGACTCACCTGCTGCCGCCCAGAGGGCCAGGGCGTGGCCTTCCTCAGGGAGTAGCCACACCCATGGAGATGCCCATTACTCAGCCAGTTTATCCATATGCGTTTTTTGTTTACCAGAGGAACTAGTTTGTAAATGTTATAATGCACTTGTGGGTTGAAGGCAGAAAAGGAAACACTATACCCTCCTTTTAAAATTCATCAAAATGATTATTGCCGGGTCTTTTAAGACTTTTTGATAATGCTTGTGGTAGTAATTCTGCAGGAAGGGAAAGTAGATATTTTAAAACTGAAACATGTTACATTTTTGGAATGAAAAAGAAAGCTTCAAGCTTAATGATCTTGATTTTGACTTCCATCTCTACCTTACAAAAGAAAAAAAGGCAAATGTATACTTTAATTTTTAAATGTCATGAACTTTCAAAGTTTATTTCATAGATTGCCATCCTAGAAAGGTGATATTTTCAATGAGAAAATCTGAAGTCATAGGTTCTTCAATCACCGAGTCAATGGTTGATGATCTAGTAATGGGAGAGTTTCATGACACAGACATCCGATCAGAGGTTGGCAATACTATTCTTACATGACTGGCACTGGGGTAAGGGTGCCTCCTCCCAATGCCAGAGTTTCTGTGCATCTCCCTGACATTGTAAACGCTACCTTTCCAGGCCAGGAAGGCAGCCAGCATGAATCACCTGATCCGTCATCACGATTCAACCTGCTCTGTCCCGGGTCATTGTGTGCTCAGCTCCCCCGTGGCCTATTTTCTTCCCATCTCCGGTCCCAGCCCTCTCCCTCCCTTCTCTGGGCATGGACCCCCATCTTCCCATCCGCCCTCTCCTCTCTCCACTTAACCAGCAATGACATCAGCCCTCTATTCTACATCATTTTACGTTCCAATTATTTCTTTCCCCTCCAAATGCAGACCAGTTATGGGGCCAAGGCCTGCAATGCCCTCACCAGAGTTCCAGATTTCGTGTTCATGGTGTAGGAGCTGTTGGTGACGTGGGCGTCGAGTCTGGGGTTCCCCAGCAGGCGGGTGCCATCCTTAAACCACGTGTACATAGGCGCTGGATTCCCTTCTTTGTCTTGACATCGCAGCTCCACCACGGTCCCGCTCAGGACAGAACTGGGGATGTTACATGTGGGAACCCCTGGAGCCACTGGGGGACGGGAGTCGAATGGTATTGGTTATTTACAAGGCAGATCTGGGAGATGCAGGTAAGGTCCAAAAGCAGCTGTTTCTGTCAGGGGCTGACCTAATCGGTCACTCTTTAAAACGGGGTTTTCTCTGGCTCATCACAAAAGGGAAAAAGAAAGATTCAAAGCACAAGAACAATTAGCCATTCTTCTGTGAGACTGAAGGTTTCCGCCTTGTGAAACCCTGGGCAGAGAGCCTGTCCGTCATGCTGGACTTCTGATCTGCAGAACTGTGAGTTAATTAGTGGGTGGGGTTTCATGCTGCTAAATTTGGGATCACTTGTTATGTAACAATAGAAGGCTAATACTCCATCTGATTCTCCTGCAAGGTTTTCTGAATTTCTTCTATACTAGTATGACGCTAGTTTTGTAGAAAGATCCTGGATTATATAGAAAAAAGAAGTGGTTTTATTTTATTGATTTCAGAGAGGAAGGAAGAGGGAGAGATAGATGGAAACATCAATGATGAGAGAGAATCATTGATTGGCTGCCTCCTGCATGCCCCATACTGGGGATCAAGTCTGTAACCTAGGCATGTGGCCTGACTGGGAATTGAACTATGACCTCTTGGTTCATAGGTCGACGATCAACCACTGAACTACACCGGCTGGGCAAAAAGAAGTGATTTTATTCCTCTTTGTTTGGTATTTTATACTAACATCTATGAAGCAGCAAATATCATGTTCCTCTATCAACAGTAATCACAAGCTGTTAATATCCATCAGTGATTTTTACAGTAATTAACCATAAGGCCTTTGGGGTTAGCTCCAAATCCTGACCCTACCAGCTGTGTGGGCTCGGGAAAACCATTTAACTTCCTCATCTGTGAAGCTCAGGCTGTCAGTGATGATAAAAGTAAAATTACATATTAGAAACGGCCTGATGCATAGTAGCTGCATAATAAATGCTAATTTCTTTTCTTTACCAAATAATATCTAATACTTCTCCTGGACTACCCTTTTGTTTTACTGCTTTTTTTTTTTTTTTTTTTATCATCTCGTGGGATACTCTCCTATGTGGTAGAAGAAATACTGCATATGCTGAAAGGTATTGCAGGAAAATGCTCCTATGAACAGTGTAGGGCCATTCAGATTTACATCCCTCTTGAATGAAGAGAGGTTTTGTGATCACGCATTAGTAACGGTCACAGTTCACTAGCCAATGAAGTGAAGTGAGAAATGGTCGCGACACTGCAGGGAAGATGGTGCTGGTGGTCTCCGTGACTCTGCTGCCTGGGCCCTGAGCGGCCCCATTGTCCCCAGGGCAGGGTGATGGGGAGGAGGGCAGGGTGCATTCATCACACAAGGTACAAGTACGTCACCTAGTACTTCTAGCGTGACTGTGTTCTCTTCCAGCCTCTGGCCTTCGTTAGTTGGGGTGCTCACTTCACAACGATATTTCCCGGCATCATTTCTTGTAACATTTTTGATCCTGATACTGAAATCCATCATCTGAGCTCGATCTTTAAAGTCACCTGTTAGAAAAAGAAAACAACGGTGTTGATGATAATACAAGTCACTGTCTCTGTACTACCTTCCTCAGATCACTTCATTCAGTACCCAAAGCAGTTATTTTTCAACCAATAAACGTAACTTAAAAATTGCATATGAGTGCTGCTATTTCAACCTTCTTTTCTTTCATCACTCACCTTAGAGCTAATCAATGCATGGCTTGTCAGTGGCTGGCAAACTCATTAGTCAACAGAGCCAAATATCAACAGTGCAACGATTGAAATTTCTTTTGAGAACCAGATCTTTTTAAACTTAAACTTCTTCTAACTCCACTTCTTCAAAACAGACTCACCCAGGCCGTAGTATTTTGTGGAAGAGCCACACTCAAGGAGCCAAAGAGCTGCATGTGGCTCTAGAGCCACAGTTTGCTGACCATAGGCCTGTCTTACTGTATCTGTACTTGAACCACTGAGTTATTGTGCAACAAATCCCAGACATCCTAGCATTTCTTCCATCCATCTACACTTTAAATCAAAAGCTCATTACAAAGTCAATAGGAAGATAGGGAGTGAAATGTAAGACAAATCAAAAATAAGAAAGTACTGGGTTAAGGTAGTTGCATTCACCCTCATCTAAGTCTTATTTCCTAAGCTTTGCAGTGATGGAGATACTGAAACGCGATGAAGTTACTATAACTGAGCTGCATCCCAATCTGCAGCATCTTGTCTTTCTTTCTCTCGAAAAGAACAATTGTATTCTACATCCTGGAGGTCTGAGCTGAGCAAGGAAGGGTCCAGGGCCTCAGTGGAGTTCGCCTACGTCTGTGCTGTGTTCTCTGTTCCGGGGGCTGTGTTCTAAGTCTTCGTCACTCACTGCTGGTTTCATCTCCCACTTGCAAACACACATTTTCATTAGCCGGCTATGACCTGTCTCATTTGTAAACGAACAGACAGCAGCTGCGCTTGGTGTTTGTTCTCTGGCTCTCACCTCGAGGCCACAGCTCCTTACCTCTGAGATCCTGGCCATAGTAGACAAAGGAGACACTTGGTCCCAGTTTCTTCCACTCTAACCTGGAGGCCGGGGTCTTCCTGGGGAATTTGCAGGTTAAAATCACCTCTAGAAACAACAACAGAAGTACTTATTTGATAAATTGTCCCTCTGAAATTATATTTCACTTAATTATGCAATGAATTTTTAACATCCTTAAGTTATTCCTTTGTATTTCTATTCATTCATTCATTCCATCCATCCATTTCATCAATTCATCCATCCATTCACTCATAAATTACCTCAACATGTACCACGTGGCTTAACCCAAAGGTAAACTGAAAGCATTGTAGCTCTTTCGCATAATAATTGTGTGATACTTCATTACTTTCCCTAGTTCTTAGACATCAGTTACTCTCAATAAAATAAGATAATATCTCAAGTTCTTGTGAGTCTTTAAATACAATAATATATGCACAGTATGTACTTTAAAATGGCAGCAATGATTAATTACCTTATTCTTTCCAGCCTCAGACTTTGAGGATTTTATAGTCTGGAACAAGAGGCAAATCAGATAATGCCCTTTCGGTCCAATGTGCTGAGCGCCAGGGTGGAGGTAAGCCTAGGAGAGGCACTAAGTCCAGCCCAGGCCATGCTGTGCACATCCACAAATATCCCCTCAACAGGCTACATTCCCACTAAGATCCCTTCTTTGGTTACTCTCTCTCAGAATAGTTTAATACAAAGCTAAGATTGTCTTCTAACAAGTTGTTGAATCCTACCCCTTACCACAATCCAGATAAAAATTCTCTCATATGTCTGATTTTGATGGTAAACAGATTTAATACCATTAAATAAATTAAAAAAAAACAACAACTCAGGATATTACATAATAAGGTAGATTAGAGAGTAATGCTTATCATACTATTCGGGTTGTATTAAAAATATACACATAGGTATGAACAAAAAGCCTGTATAAATGTATATGAAAATATTAACCAGTGATGATTTCTGTGTGATATAATAGAATCATTATTTTTCTTTTTGTTTTATGTAGTTGCTAAGTTTTTTTTAGTTCCACGTGTATTGATAGAATAAGATGTAATGAAAAATAGAAAGTAGGTAAAAGAAAGGTAAGGGGGAAAAAAACCCAAAGTTGTTTTCAAAGATGCCTAAAGATGTAGAAGCAGGTTCTACATTACAGACAGACACCATTTCACAGACATGTTTACAATTACACTGAGAGACAAACGTGTGCCGAGGCACCGGTCTGAGGAAGCACAGCTCCCTTCTGTTGATTAAGGAGATGGGTGGGGACTTCCCGGGGTTTGGAGTTTTAGATAGGTTTCCTTCCCGTATTTTGTTGAGTTTCCAACAATTAAACACACACCCACACTCATTTTTAGCCCATATTCCTAGTTCTTAGGAATACACTTACTTTCAATTGTTTCACATATTTAACTAGACACACGCACATCCCCCCTTGGGAAATTCTTCCTGATTTCTGTCCTCGCTGTTCTGTGGGGAACCTTTGGAGAAATGATTTTTGAAAACATAACCAAGGATTTCCCTAAAGGCAGTGGACTCCGTTCCAGCCTCATTCGCACTGAGCACGTGACCTGTGGAGAAATGGTCTATGCAACTTGTCTAAAATACACTGAGCGTATTTTATTGTTCTGGAGCTCTGTCAAGGAGCAACACAAAGATCTCTGTCCTTTTGGATCTTATAATTTGCAAGAGGTCAGAAAAGCATGAAGTAAATTATATAGTATATCAGGTTGAGTGTTATAGAAATAGAGTAGATCAGAGTACAGGAGGCATGGGAATTCTGGGGGACACAAGTACAATTTAAAAAAAATAACGTAGTTGGGAAAGAGATCAACCAAAGGACTTTTGTGCATGCATATGAGCCTAATCAGTGGTCACGGACAACAGGGGGGTAGGGGCATGCGTGAGAGGGATTTGGGATTGGAATGGGGGGATGAGGACAAATATGTGATACCTTAATCAATAAAGTAATTAAAAAGAAATAATAACGTAGTCAGAATTCACCTCATTTCGAAGGTGACATCTGAACAAACACTTAAAAGATGGAATTAGATCCCAGCTGAATGACACAGTGGTTAAGCATGGACCTATGAACCAGGAGGTCATGGTTTGATCTCTGATCAGGGCACATGCCAGGGTTATGGTCTTGATCCCCAGTAGGGGGCATGCAGGGGCAGCCAATTGATGTTTCTCACATCAGTGTTTCTCTCCCTTCCTCTCTAAAGCCAATAATTAATAATAATAATAATAATAATAATAATAATAAATAGCCAAAACCAGTTTGGCTCGATGGATAGAGCATCAGCCTGCGGACTGAATGGTCCCAGGTTCAATTCTGGTCGGGGGCATGTGTCTTGGTTGAGGGCACATCCCCAGTAGGGGGTGTGCAGGAGGCAGCTGGTTGATGATTCTCTCCCATCGATGTTTCTAGCTCTCTATCTCTCTCCCTTCCTCTCTGTAAAAAATCAATAAAATATATTAAAATAATAATAAAAGACAGAACTAGAATTCTAACTAGAATGTCCTAAAATTCCAATTTAGAATTTGCCATGTGGTTCTTGGGGAGTGCTCTAAGCAAGGGATGAGCCAGGGCCCAAATCCTGTGAGGAACAGTAAATCGGGGTTCAACGTCTGAGTATAAAGAACCAAGTGAACTTAAAAGATAACTACCATGGACTCTCCTTTTCTTCTCAGCCAAAGGTCAACACTCAAGGCCTGCATAATTCTGCATCTAGCCCTCAGGGTAATTGTGTCATCATATAGTAGCTTAGCACAGGCTTTGAAGTTAGACATTTGCCAAATGCCAGCTGTGTGATACTGTGCAAATTACCTAACTTGCACAACAGGTAAAGTTGTTGTAAGGTTTAAATGAGATGATGTATTTATGTACTTGGGGGCACATGGTACTCATGCGCCATAAATGGTAATTATTACTTTCACACAGGAGGAGCTTGTCTTAGTTGTAGTGGTAAGAGGGCATCAACATGACAGAAATCCACACTTTATTACCATTACAAATTTACCTAAAAAATCACTTAGATTTGAACTAAAATGTTACTTCTCAGACGGCAAAGAAAATAATATAGAGATAAATCATATTTTCTCAAAAGAAGGCATATTAAGACAGAAAAATGCACCAAGTTTTTCCATTAAGATGCTTATTTCATTTAGATTGAGAAAAGGCAATTTTTTTTTTAAGTTTAGTGCCTGTTTGTTGTTTTTATTGCTTTTTGTATTTTTTTATCTTTATTTTTTTAGAGAGGAAGGGTGAAGGAGAGACAGAGAAACATTGATGTGAGAGCAAAATCAATTGGCTAGATCATTGATTCTCTCTCATCATTAGTGTTTCTATCTCTCTCCCTCTCCCTTTCTCTCTGAAATCAATAAAAATATATTTTTTTAAAAATCAATTGGCTGCCTTCTGCATGTCCCCTACTGGGGATTGAGCCCACAGCATTGTGCCCTGACAGGAATTGAACTAGCAACCTTTTGTTGTATGGGACAATGCCCAATCAACTGAGCCACACCAACGAGGGCTAATTTTTGTTCTGATAAAGTATTAACACAGATATTTTGCTATGAATTTTAGTTTTTCTAGGATTCTGTACTGCTGACTATCTTCTGATTTTCTTCTCTGTGCTCAAGTTAAAAATCATCAAAATTTTATATAATGCAAGAAGAAAATTGATCCTACTAAGTAACTGTGAAGAATTCAAATTATTTCTGAGGAGAAAAGTATCCTATAAAACCCTAATTTATAGCTCTCGGGGTTGGACACTCTACATAAGGCTATTCATATAATTTATAAGCCTGACAGAGCTGTCTTTTTTTTTCAGTCTTATTCTGTTTTTGGCTCAACTATCGGAAGTGATACAGAACAGCAGTACTGGAAAGAAGGAATTAATTCATGATTTATTGACATCAGAGTGATAGAGACAAAAAGCCAAATGAACTGGATGGACCACACATATACATAAATCATAAAATATTTTGGACTGCAAGTAAAATCAAATTACTGTATGCAATATCCTAAAACTAAAAAGTGGTAGAAATTTATTTTTGCTTTATGGAGAGCCAAGTTGGAATGATTGGGGCACATATAAAATGGAATCAAAATGTAATTCTTAATTAAAAGGAGCAGAGGTGAAACCAAAAGATAGAAAATACTTACTTGGGTCTAAGACTAACGTTTGATTGCAATAAATTATACGTACAGTAAACGTAAAACACCCATTAAAAAGGAATGTAGCCCTGGCTGGTGTGGCTCAGTTGGTTGAGCATCATCTCATGCACCGAGAGGTCACCAGTTCGATTCCCAGTCAGGACACATGGATTGTGGGCTTGATGCTCAGTAGGGAGGATGCAGGAGGCCACTGATTGATGTTTCTCTCTCACATCAATAAATCTCTCTCTCTTTCTTTCTCTCCCTCCTTCCCTCCTTCCCTCTCCTTCTCCCTCCATCTCCCTTCCTCTCTATCTAAAATCAATAAAAACATATTTTTAAAAAAGTAATGTCAATGGTACAGAGTTGTAGTATGGAGTGATGTTTTGAAACTAGATGGAGGTGATGGTTACACAACATTATGAATGTACGAATGCCACTAACTTGTTTACTTTAACATAGTAGATTTAATGTTATGTGAGTTTCGCCTGAATAAAATTTAAAAAAAATATATTTAATTGATTTTTTAGAGAGGAAGGTAGAGGGATAGAAAGCCAGAAACATCAATGAGAGAGAAACATCGACCAGCTACCCCCTGTACACCCCCCACCGGGGATGTGCCCACAACCAATGTACATGCACTTGACTGGAATTGAACCTGGGACCCCTCAGTCTGCAGGCTGATGCTCTATCCACTGAGCCAAACCGGCTTCAGTGTGAATAAGTTTTTTATTTACTATTATTATTATTATTATTATTATTTAGTTAATCCTCACAATTGATGATTTAGTTAATCATCAATTTTTCCTATTGATGTTTAGAGAGACTGGAAGGGAGGGAGAGAAGAGAAAGAGAGAAACACTGATTTGAGAGAGACATATAGATTGGTTGCCTCCTGCGTGTGCCCAGACCAGACCAGGGGAATTGAACCTGTGATCCCTCAGTGTGAGGGCTGATGCTCTAACCATTGTGCCACTGGCTAGAGTTCAGTATGTTTTTTAAAAAGGAATGTAAGGCTAAAGAATATAACAGGCATTGTAATTCAGATATTGTGGCATAGGGCCAAGGGGCAGGGATGGATGTATATCCATGGTATCCCGTTGCACTCAACAGTAAGAACCTCCGGGGAAAGTAAAAAATAAGAGAAACTAACTTCACTTCCTTATCCCTCATGAGCATCCTGACCCATCTTCCTCTCACTGTGCTCACTCGTTTGGCCTTGTCAGTGTCTTTGGTACTTCTTCCAGGCCTGCTTATCCTTCCTCTACATACGTTCCATAGTTCCAAATCACTTCCAATCTTTAATTTCCTCTTCCCACCTCTGCCCATTTAAAATTAAGCCAGGATAAGAGTATTTTATTAGCTTACTCATATAAAATATTAGAACTTTTAAATACTTAATTTGTTATTAAGTGATGTTATTTTTGAATGATAGACTGACTCTTATTATAACATATTTTTACTAAATAATCACATATAACAAATGTGCCAAGTACTATTGCAAGTACTAATTCATTTAATTCCTCCACACCCCACTCTTCACCTATAATCTTTAAAAAAAAATTTTAAAAAATATATTTTATTGCCGAAACCGGTTTGGCTCAGTGGTAGAGCGTCGGTCTATGGACTGAAAGGTCCCGGGTTCGATTCCGGTCAAGGGCACGTACCTTGGTTGCGGGCACATCCCCAGTGGGAGGTGTGCAAGAGGCAGCTGATCGATGATTCTCTCTCATCGATGTTTCTAACTCTCTATTCCTCTCTCTTCCTCTCTGTAAAAAAAAAAAATCAATAAAATATATTAAATAAATAAATAATATATATATATATTATTGATTTTTATTTTTTACAGAGAGGAATTGAGAGGGATAGAGTTAGAAACATCGATGAGAGAGAAACATCAGCTGCCTCTTGCACACCTCCCACTGGGGATGTGCCCGCAACCAAGGTACGTGCCCTTGACCGGAATCGAACCCGGGACCTTTCAGTCCACAGGCTGATGCTCTATCCACTGAGCCAAACCGGTTTCGGCCTCACCTATAATCTTTGCTCTCCTTTAACCTATCTCTTTCCACCTTCAGGGATCTAAGACGTGCCTGAAGAAAAGGGATCAGACATCAGGACTTGTTTCTTAAATGCTTACCATCTCTGCCTCAGCAAGTATGACATTTAAGAGACAGATAGTCTTCTCTTTTCCTAGGATTGTTGTGTTCCAGGTAAAAGAGACTTCAGAAAAGTAGTGGGTAGTCAATATTTGAGGTAAATTCACAAAAGCCTTATAAATTGTTGGCTATTAGAACCATTAACTTTTTAAAATTGTGGTAAAATACACATACTTTAAACTTAACATCTCAATTTTCTAAAAAATATATATATATATATATATATATATATATATATATTTGTATATTAAAATATATTTTTATTGATTTTTTTTTTACAGAGAGGAAGAGAGAGGGAAAAGAGAGTTAGAAACAACAAGAGAGAATCATCGATCAGCTGCCTCTTGCACACCCCCTACTGGGGATGTGCCCGCAACCAAGGTATATGCCCTTGACCGGAATCACACCTGGGACCTTCCAGTCTGCAGACCGAGGCTCTATCCATTGAGCCAAACCGGTTTTGGCTAAAATATATTTTTATTAATTTCAGAGAAGAAGAGAGAGGGAGAGGGAGAGGGAGAGAGAGAGAAACATCAATGATGAGAGAGTATCATTGATCTGCTGCCTCCAGTATGCCCCCCTCTGGGATCGAGCCCCCAACCTCAGCATGTACCCTTGACCAGAATTGAACCAGGGACCCTTTGGTCCACAGGCCAACGTTCTAGCCATTGAGCCAAAAGAGCTAGGGCAACATTTTGATTTTTAACTGTATAGTTCAGTCATGGTAAGTATATTCACATTGTTGAGCAACAAACCTCCAGAACTTTTTCATTTTGCAAAACCAAACTTAAATATTTTGAAGAAACTAAAATAAACAGCAAAATGGCACCTCAAAATAGGCTATGTTCATGCCATTTGAAATACATCAAATAGCATGAGGTTTGCGGTGTTAACTTCCATTTACCACATCTACCTGACTGGAAATTTTTAAGATCTCCATCTCCCCAGTTTCACAAATTAGATTTGCTTTGTTCCGGATAATTTACATAAGAGACCTTTCTTGTACTCAGGTCTTTCACCACATGTCCAAAATTTCCATTGAGGAGGTAGAGAAAGAGTTCCCAAGGCAGAAAGGGCATTTTAGGCAGAAGAATGAGTATGAGGGGAGGCAGAGGGTCTGGACAAACAGAAAGATTGCTTCACATGTGCCATACTCTTGGGTCATTTAAACAAAACAGTCTGTGAAAAGCAGCAATGTACTCTACCTTGATACTCGATTGCTGTGATTACTTGATGATCCTTTGGGTCAGACAATCCAAAGGTCTTAGGACCTGGAAGATTAAAAAAGAGAGGATAATTAAAATAGTATAAGAGGTCTTTCTAAAAATGTTTGAATAAGATGCAAGGGTGGCAATATGAAAGAAAACAGGCCTCAAGTTTGGTGACAGTTTCATATAATTCGTAGCACGTTATATTTTTATTTTATTTTATACATATATACATATATATATATATATATATATATATATATATATATATATATATATATATATTGGTATTGATTTCAGAGAGGAAGGGAGAGGGAGAGAGATGGAAACATCAATGATGAGAGAGAATCATTGACTGGCTGCCTCCTGCACTCCCCTACTGGGGATTGAGCCCGCAACCCAGGCATGTGCCCTTACCGAAATTAAACCTGGGACCTTTCAGTCCACAGGGCGATACACTATCCACTGAGCCAAACTGGCTAGGGCACATTATGTTTTAAAGTATTCAAATAAGAAAAACCAAGCCAAACCATTATATGTCTCTTCCGTGTTCTGTATGGTGGTTTTACCCTTTAAACATTTCCCAAAGCAGAACCCATAAATCTATTAGGGCCCCCTAACAGACAACACATTTCCACAAGCCTGATGGTTAAACAAGAGTGTATGTCCTTAATTCACCAAATATATAATCCAGTATCAAAGGGCACTGTCCCCCCACTAAAACCTACAAATTTTTGGCACTTCATTCAAAGATATAAACTGCTTTGGGAACTTATCCCTGACTGTATCTTCCTCATATGAAAATGGGTCATTATGGTGATTATGGTGGCGAACGTGATCTGAGAAATATACAGTGATGATGACGATGGTGTATCATCATGCCCATTACCTTACACAAAATTTCACTTTACAAGTGTTCAAACATAATTTACTTTTATTCTATAACATGCAATATTCAGTGACCTGCTGTACTAGACATTACTTTCTCTTAAAGTTTTTAAAATTTATTTTTCAATTACAGTTGACATACAATATTCTATTAGCATTGGGTATCCAACATAGTTATTGACTTTCGTATACCTTATGACTAGACATACTAAGACTGGAACAACCAAGTAGCAGTACCAGGAATTAAAACTTTCTAATTCAATCTTTGACATGTGTCATTTTGTGTTATGGATGCCATACTACCATCAGTTTAATGACTATATTTAAAAATAATTTAAATCACTTCCTATAAATATATATATATATATATATATATATATATATATATGAAATATAAATGCTACTGGGGAAAGATTTTTACCTGTTGTACCCTCTGATATAGCCCAAATACCTAGAATAGTGCCTAGCATAAAACAAGGCACAGTAAGTGGTTGTTGAATGCATAAATAATACCCATCTACCTTGTATAATATTGAGAGGAATCCAGTGAATGGGGTCAGATCAAACCAACACTAATAAAGGGTTCCTGAAGGCAAGCAATTCACTGGGGAAGGTGTCATAAGTATGCAATACTGGACTGGTATTAACTTCTTCAAAGTCAGAATACAAAGCATCCTTGCTGGTTAGCTTAAGTAAACAATTTAGGTAAAGGATCCAACTGCTGTTCATTATTCACCCCCAAACAATTTAGGTAAAGGATCCAACTGCTATTCATTATTCACCCCCAAATCACATATGAAATAACTTAAGACCAAATTAAACTGGTCATAAAAACATAAAGGTTATTTCTTGAATATGTTTCTACAATTTACTAGAAGTGCTATTTTGCTGTTCATGCTTTCATCTGCCTCTGTCTTTGTAAAATCTACAACCCTGCTTTCACCAAGGCAAAAATGATCTCATTGTTGCCATATCCAATGGACAATTTTCAGTGTTTATCTTCCTTAATTTCTCTCTGACATCTGACTTCGTTGACTTCCCTGGATTGTGTGACATGACTAATCTTCATTCTGTATCCCTTGTGGGTTCTTCTCATCCATCCACCATCCATCCATCCATCCATCCATCCACCCACAATCCATCCATCCATCCATCCATCCATCCATCCATCATCCATCCACCACCCATCTATCCACCATCCACCATCCATCCATCCATCCATCCATCCATCCATCCAGAAATGGCTTTTTTGACTCAACTCCTTTATATATAATTTCTTATAGTCTCAGTCATTCAATAACCATTTATTTGCTAAAAAGTCCTAAATCTGTATACCCAGTTGTATGTTGACTGCTCTTTCTATAGGGTATCTATATCTCCATTTCCTATAAGAACCACAAACTCATAGGCAAAAATAGACTCAATGTTTACCCCTAAAAATTTGTTTTCTTTCTACAAATCCTATCACAGTGAAAGACACCACAATCTACATGGTCACTCATGCCAGAAATTTAGGTGCTGCCCATGATGTAACATCATTCCATCTATTTATTCATCAGTTTCCATCTATGGACTGAGAATCGTGTGCTGTACAAGACAATGTTTTGGAATATTTTCCCTCCCCCACCTTATGCAGTCAAGTGTTCTTTGCCTCAGGAGGGAATGTACGAAGCCAAACCAGAGAGAAAAAAGCAAGTATTTCCAGACTTTCCACACCTGGAATACTTGATTGTAAAGGAAACGAAAATGGAAATGGAAAAGAATCATAGCTGATGCAGATCTTTAAGAAAAATTATACCTTCTTCCCAGCCTTATGGTAGAGAAGAGGAAGTGAGTTGGAGAACAGAATCTTAATGGGCTCTTAGGAAAGAACAATAGACCTGGCTGGTGTTGCTCAGTTGGTTGGAAAGTCCCTTACATTGAAAGATCTAAGGTTCGATTCCCTGTCAGGGTACATACCTAGGTTTCTAGTTCAATCCCATCTTGAAAGAAATTACAAGAAAGGAAAGAAGGAAGGAAGAAAGGAAGGAAGGAAGGAAGGAAGGAAGGAAGGAAGGAAGGAAGGAAGGAAGGAAGGAAGGAAGGAAGGAAGGAAGGAAGGGAGGAAGGGAGGGAGGGAAGAAGGAGAAAGGAAGAAGAAAGAAAGAAAGAAAGAAAGAAAGAAAGAAAGAAAGAAAGAAAGAAAGAAAGAAAGAAAGAAAGAAAGAAAGAAAGAAAGAAAGAAAGAAAGAAAGAAAGAGAAAGAAAGAAAGAAAGAAAGAGAAAGAAAGAAAGAAAGAAGAGAGTAGATGACATTTATTTAGCACTTAGATGTTAGGCCACATTCCTAGAACTTAAATATTAAGTTATTTGACTCTTACAACAATTCTCTATGGTAGGGTACCATTAAACAATTTTTTTTTATTGATTTCAGGGAGGAAGGAAGAGATAGAGACAGAAACATCAAGAATGAAAGAATCATTAATCAACTGCCTCCTGCACAGTCCACACTAGGAATTAACCCGGGCATGTGTCCTAACAGAGAATTGAACCATGACCTCCTGGTTCAGAGGCAGGGATATAAGCAATCTTTTTAAATATCCTTTTTCTCCTTCCCATATATCTCTGTCCCAAAGCAGAATATGTACTGTGTTCCTCTAACTCTCTTCTCACATCCCCATCCTCTCCCCAGGATCACCCCCCACCCCCCCCAATCCCTGTGTCTTTCTTTTCCAGCTTCTCTTCTTCCAACTTTGTTGTGTAGACCACAGTCTACAGGCAGGTTCAGATCTTTAGAGAGCAGAGGAAGGGAAGGACTAAGCTTGCCAAGCCAGATCCCTCCTAAGTGAGCTAGGGGAAGCCAGGGTCTCATGTATTCTTGTTGCATATAACCTATATCTAAATAATACAATTTTTTTTAATTTTTTTTTTTTTTGCCAGTGATTCTGATTCCAAACCATTATTCTGTGAAACTTTCAAAGCACACTTTGAAAAAGTCTCTTTTCTCTTTTAGCAACATGTAAATTAGTGCCCTCCGAGAAATTCCAATGAGGACTGGCGTTTGTCATTTTTAAAGGGTTTTGGTACTTTTTAAACAGAACAACGAAGACTCATATTCCCTTGAAACAAGCTGAGGGAAAAGTGGGAGCCAAAGAGGAAAAGATCTTTGTTTCCTCCGCATCATCAGATCTTTGAACTTTTCCAACACTGCAGGGCCCTCTGAGCATGTTTGTTTTCTTGAGGAGGCTTGGGCCAGCTTTCATTGGAGGCAAACATTCGCTCAGCCTGAGGTTGGAAGGTTAGGACTGGGTTAAATCATGTCCCTCCTTTTCCATTTTTCCACTTGCTTAACACTTTTCTGAGAAAAGTTTCTTCCATTTTCAAAAAATCACTTCAAAAGTTCTGTGGAAAAGAACAGCTGTTAACTTCGGATTTGAAGTCCCTCATAATTTTTATATGTATATGTTTGAACAGAAAAAAACAATGTGTTCCAGACACTAAAAAAGCGAGGGTTGGCTGAATTGACAAAACTACAAAGATAAAAACAAAAATTAAAATGAGGATTGGTTTTAATGAATTAATAAATAGGTAGTTGAATATTAATTTATGTAATTTTTTAAGCATCTCCTCCTAGCTACCTTCCTTCTTCTAATTCTATTTACTTCAAGGTTTGCTTTTAATTAAGTAAGAAGAATTAAAACGCCTGGTGACTTTGGTTGAGCTTATTAAAGACAATGTTCTATCTTTATAAAACAATTTATGTGTTATAAGACTTCTATCCTGTTTCAGCCTTCCTACCCTTGGCATTCAGTTTTAATTTTTTTTTTTTTAAACTTGCACTCAATAGCTCTTCTTATGAAAACAAAACGTTGGATTTTGTATAAACATTTCGCTAACAGATGTTAGGGATAGTCTCTGTTGGCTGCTTTCTTGAAGTGATTTTTATTTTCCCTTCCATTTTCCAGAACAAGTTAAGTAGGAAAACAAATAAAATTGTCTGCTGATTGAGGCCGGCGATTGTTTTAAAGTTAGGTTAGCTACAAAACATCTTTAATATGTGTGCCAGAGTCTCTGGCAGAAATTCATAAGATGAGGCTAAAAGATGATTACTTCCATAACCGCTAACAACTCCTAGCCAAGTTAAAAGAAACCCTGGTGTTTCTTCCCCTCCCTAACGGTAAGGATAAAAGTTCTTA